AGCATATTTTAAAAATGAAATGTAGATCTTTTTTAAAGGTTAAAAACTCAATCTTATGTCTTACAGGGTCTATACTAAGTTCAATATTGTATAACTTTATTAATTCAACTATGAACCTAAAAATTTACAGCCACTTTTGAGATGTATCCTTGCTCTGGAAATTGTTATTGAATATGTTAATGAACATTCTCATTCAAGCCACCACACCTCATCTCTTCTGACTATTTTGGCTTGAGGTCTATTTTGTCAGATATAAGTATAGCTACACCAGCTGGTTTCCTAGTTCAGTTGCCTGGAATACTTTTTCTATCTTTTTACGCAAAGGTGGTATCTATCATGGATGGTGAGACATATTTCTTAGAGGCAACAAAAAAGGTGACTCCTGTTTTCTGAAAAAAATCTCCTAGTCTATATGTTTTTATTGAGAATTGAGATCATTGATATTCAAAGTTATTGAAAATTGTCTCTTTTTCTTTCATTTTGTTGATTTTGTAGTGTTTTCTTAGACTTCTTTTGAGGAACTATTCTGATATTTTTATCCACTGTGACCACTGGAGTGTGTTTATACTTCTCTTCAATCTAAAGTATTCCTTCCGGTGTCCTCTTAATCTAATTTAGTGGTATAAAGTATTTTAAACGGCTTCTACCATGATAAGTGTTCTGCTCTTTAATTTTAATAGCTAGTATTTCTGGGATAGCAGTTGTGTTCATTCAGAATGTGGAAAATATCTTTCCAGTTCCTTCCAGTGTTAAAGGTTTATGTCAGATACTCAGGTGCTATTCTGATGGACCTGCTTTAAGTGATTTTTCTTTCCCCCTCAAGTATAATAGACATTGTTTTTTGGTCTTTTTTGAGACAGGGTCTCCTTTTAGCCCCAGCTGTCCTGGAACTCACTATGTAGACCAGGCTGGCCTTGAACTCACAAAGATCCACCTGCCTCTGCCTCCCAAGTGCTGGGATTAAAGGCATGAGCCACCACGCCCGGCTATAATAGACATTTTTGCTGGGTAGAGTATTCTGGGCTGGCATCTATTGTCGTTTAGAACTGGAAATACCTTGGACCAGGCTCTTCTGGTTTTCATAGTTTGCATTGCAAAGTCTCCTGTAATTCAGATAGGCTTTCCTTCATGTGTGACTTGTTGTTTTTCTTTTGCTGCTTTCAGTATTCTCTCTTTGCTCTGTATAGTTAGTGTTTTTACTACTATGTGCCGTGGAGAGTTTGTTTTCTGGTCCTGTCTATTTGGTGTTCTATGTGCTTCTTGTATTTGTATGGGCATGTCTTTCCTTAATTTTGGGAAATTCTCTTCTACAATCCTGTTTAAGATCTGGTCAACACCATTGACCTGAAATTCTTTTCCTTCCTCAATGCCCGTGTTGCATCGATTTGGTCTCTTCATGGTCCCACATCTCTTGTATATTCCATTCCTGTGCTTTCAAAAATTCCGAGAACACAGCAGACAGCAGGGATAGCAGAGTATAAGGGCTCTAGTGTGGGGAGGGAGGCTATGGGAGGGTGCCATCTGGGAAGTGGGTGTATAGTCGAATAAGATGGTTTGGGATGTATGGTTTTAAAAATGTATTATATTTGAGGAGGAGGCATGGCAATTTACATCATGCTAATTAGTAGAAGTGATAAACATTACCACTGAAATCTATCAGATGACTTCATACACATACACAGGCACTAAGGATCCAAGTGCAATCGATTATGACGAGTAATAATCAAATGCATACAGATTAGAGATGCATGCGCCAACATCTCAGTGTTAGTAGCAAAAACAATGAATCTTTCTGTAAGAAACAATATATTTTAAAATGAAATGGAGATGTTTTTTAAAGGTTAAAAACTCATTCAATTTTATGTCTTACAGGGCTTATACTGAGTTCAAAATTGTATAAGTGTATTAATTCAACTATGAACCTAGAAACTTACAGCCACTTGCTCTGGAGTGTGTTACTGAATATGTTAAAGCTGTAATGAAATACTTCTTCTAATCATGTGGTTATTAAAAGAAAAATTAACCTGAACCAACTCATCAAGAACACCAATAAAGCTGATGTGACAGTTTACAAAGCAGCCGATGACACTTAAAATGTCCAGGAAGCAGGCTTGAAGAACTGTTCTAGGCTGTAGACCAGGCACAACTACTTAACTGAATACATTGGGGATTTTGTGTTAAGAATGTCGGAAAGCCTGGTCTCTAGATGGCTGTAATGTCACCATGTGTTTGCACCTGTGAGATTATCTGTGGTAAAGGTGTCCTCAGTTGCACAAACTACATAGTAAAATATATGGAGCTGAGATATCCCATGATTCAACCTTCTGTAGTAAAGAAAATAAAATTTACTGTTACTGCAAAAACTGTGTCTGGGCAGCACTGGGGATGATTCTAGTCTTGCACATGGTTGGCACTCTACCATTGAGCCCTGAGCTGGATCACCAGACCTTTTATGTCTAAGTTGCCCAGCAAGCCTTGACCTCAACTCTATAGCCCAGAAGGCAATCCTGATGTAGTCAAACCTTTTAGAGGAAGTAAATGACACTGGTTTGTGCAACCAGGTCTAGTCATTTTAATATTCTTGCACTATACTTTTCTACAAGTTTGGAATGATTTAAAGTACAAACCCAGTCTTTTTTTTTTTTTTTTTGGGACAGGGACTCACTATGCAGCCCTGCTTGGTCTGGAATTATCTGAACCGGCCTGACTCAAAGATCTGTCTGCCTCTGTGCCCTCAGTACTGGGATTAAAGATGTTTTGTCATCATACTTGGCCGAATTTAAAAAAAAGATAACTTTGATTCAATCTTTATGTCTCTACCTCCCAAATGCTGGGATTACAAGTGTGTGCCACACCAACCTACCCCTGAACTTTTTGCTTTTCCATAATCCCCATTTTCTGAAAACTTATTAAGAAAAAAAAAATGCTTGTCATATTTTTACATGTATATGTAAAAGTGACTCAGTTTCAACTGAAAATCCAAAAGGTAGGTGTGAAGAACTGAAAATTCCTTATTTGCCAAAATTAAGAATACACCCTGTAGCTACAGGCTTTATCAAAAGGGAAGATGCAAGAGTGATGATTGTATGGATTCTGATCACACTGACAAGTGACAGCTAAAATTAAGTTTTTTCAATTGCTATTACACCAAACATTTAAGGGCATAATAAAAATGAGACAAATTTGCTGTAAGGGAAGGCTCTTTTTAATTTAGACAGACTGGAAGGGGAAATGGGGAAATGCTTAAAATTCAAGGGACCCAGAATTATCCAAAAAGAATATCCTGTCTTTTGAGACAGCATGGCATTGAACTTGAGATTCTCCTGCATCAGCCTTGAGTGCTGGGGATTACTCATGCACACCATACCAGCTGGATACATTTTGAAGTTCTAAAGAAAGCACCCCAAAACAGGTATTTCTTCTCATTTTGCTTCCCCTATGACTCAGTGAGACCTTATGCATTAACCACAACTTCCTGACCCAGATCCTGGAATTCCCCGAATTGCAATGCATTTTATAGTCAAATGACATTGCATATTAATGTACAGTACTTTCAAATGGGAACTTTTTTGGGGGGGCTAGTAATTGAGACAAGATTTCAGTACATAGCCTACGCTGGCCTTGGACTTAAGATCTTGAGTTCTCAGCCTAACACGTGCTGGAATTTAGGGCATATGCCACCATTGCCTTTGGTTTACCTTGTTTTGCCTGTTGGGGATCGAACTCCAGGGCCTTGTGCATGTTTAAGCATGTCTCTATCACTGGGCTATACTCTCAGCCAATGCTTCTTTTGAGACTTTCACTATGCCTCAGCTTTTCTTTTTGTCTTTTCTTTAGTTTTTGAAACCAGGACATTTATTTTATGACTGGCTGCTAAAATCCTCAAGATGAACAGCTGCCCTCTTGGATTTCAGTGTCGTTCCTTCGCAGAATCCATGTCTGAATCTGACAGACACTTTTCAGGTGCCTCATCTGCCCTGTCCCAGTAGCGTTTTGTCTCTTAGCCTTGGCATTCCAGTTATACTTTCTTTTGCATTTGGCAGGGTAGCCATATTTGCCACAGGTCGTCTTCTGAAGGTGGTAGGCCTTAGAGTCACAGTGGTGGCACAAAGTGTACATCTTACTGCGACGCTTTCCAAACGATGATGTTCCCTTTGTCATCTTGCTTCTACTGTTGAGGCCAAAGAGCATGCCTCAGTTTTTCAACTGCTGGGATTACAGGTGTGAGTCATACATCACACTTTTGACATTCCTTGTTTTTAAATTCTTAACTCCTAAACAGAGTATGTTGGTATATATCTTTAACCCTAGGCCTTGGGAGGTGAAGGCAGGAGGATCAGAAATTCAAGGTCATTCACAACTACAGAGTTCCTATGTGTAAAACTCTAGTCATTAAAATCTTGAATTATTGGGTGCTGGAGAGATGGCTGTAGAGGATCCAGGTTCAGTTCCCAGCACCCACATGGCAGCCAACAACCATCTGTAACTCTAGTTCCAGGGGACCTGGCACCCTCTTCTGACCTCTGTGGGCACTCTATAACAAGGGTATGCTTACATACATGCAGGCAATATTCATACACATTAAAAAAAACTTTTTAAAATTTAATTACAAGCTGGTTATGGTGGTGCACACCTGTAGTCCCAACACTTGGGAGGCAGAGGTAGGTGGATCTCTGTGAGTTCCAAGGCCAGCCTGGTCTACACAGTGAGTTCCAGGACAGCAGGGGCTACAGGAAGACCCTGCTTCAAAAAGACCAAAAAAAAAAAAAAAATTAATTGCTGTTGAGTGTGGTGTCACACACCATTAATTTCAGCACTCTGGAGGCAGAGGCAGGTGAATTGCTTTGAGGATCAAAGTGTCTAGTCTAGAACTCACTAATCTACATGGTGAGTTCCAGGCCAGCTGGGGCTATAGGGAGACCCTGTCTCAGGAAACAAAAACAATAAAAAAAAAAAAAAAGTTATTATTTAGAAAATGGCAAAACAAAGAACTCAAAGAATTTGGGGGTTGCTGAGATAGTTCAGTGGATAGACATTTGCTGCTAAGTCTGATGATCTGAGTTCAACTCTTGGGTCCTATATGATAGGAGAGAACCAACTCCTGAAATTGTCCTCTGATCTCCTAAGATTCACCATGGTATTGTCCCCTTCCTGCCAAATAAATAATTAAATGTAAAAAATAAAATAAAAAAATTTGAGAAAGTATATATTGATAAAAATTTTTCCTAGGCTTAAGGTTTGAGTCTTTTTGAATTCTTAAACCATTCAACATCAATAAGCCACCATTTCTGGATGCTTTCTTTTTTAAAATGTGTTTTTACGTGTATGAGTATTTTGCTTACATGTATATGTGTACCGTATGCATGCGATGCCCAGGAAGGCCAGAATAGGGCGTTGGATCCCTTGGAACATGCCATGTGAGTACTGGGACGTGGACCATGGTCCTCATAAGAGCAGCCAGTGCTCTTAACTACTGAGCCATCTCTCCAGCCCTATGGATGCCTTTTTACAAAAGTACCAAAAGATGATGAACTTGTGTTGGGTGAGAAGTAGGCGCCTCTCAACTGGTGCTAGGCACGAGAGGCTTGCGGTATTTGCACTGAATCCAGACTCGGTACATTGTCAGTTGTTTCCCTCGGTTCACTTGCAACCGGCGATCTACCAGGTTCTGCACCTTTTCCAGTCCCGCAGTAGTGAAAAGTATGTCCAGTTCATCTGGTTTGGAAAGAGAAGATGTTTATAGATTTTATCCTAAAGAAGACACATAGAATGCATAGGGAGATCTAAGTCAGCAGTGGAGAAATTTTTTTTATTTTTTTGTTTTATGGTATGAGTGTTTTGTATGCGTGTATGTAAGTGCACCAAGTACATGCGATGCCCATGAAGATTAGAAAAGGGCATCAGATCACCTGGAACTGGAGTTACAGATGGCTGTTAGCTTCCATGTCAATGCTAGGAACCTGGGTACTCTGAAAGAGCAGACAATGCTAAGCCATCTCTCCAGCCCCCACCTCCCTCATTTATTTTGTTGTTTTGAGACAGGCTCTCCCTGTGGCCCCAGCTGGCCTAGAACTTGTAGACTAGGCACAGAAACCCACCTGCTTCTGCCTCCCAAGTACTGGGATTAAAAGCACGCACCACCATGCCAGCTAGCAATGAATGGGGAATTTCACGTCTGTGGTACATATGCTTGTGGAGATCAGATCCTTAGGTGTAGTTCCTTAGGTGCTATTTTTTTTTTTTTGTATTTAAAGACAGATGGCCTCTTACTGGCTTGGAACTTATAAAGTAGGCTAGGCTGGCTTATCAGCAAGCCCCAGGTATCCTCTAGATTACAAGTGTATGCCACCATGCCCATAGGCCAGAGTTTTTTTTAAAAAAAAAAAGCCTCTATATGGCTCTATGAACACTTAAATGTCTATGCAAAAAACATGCCTTTAAAAAAAAGTTGAGGCAGGAGGATTATTAATTCCAAGGTTAGTCTGGGGCACACAGGAAGACTTTCAACCAAAACAACCCCGAATCCAGAAATTATGTGCAAAAACTGACATATGTGCATGTTAAGACAATGTTTTAGGGGTCAGCTTTCAATGCTGGGAGGCCAAAGGCTCAAAGTATACAACTCAATAAAAGGCCCTAGAATATTCGTGACGTGCTGGTGGCGGGAGAAGCCTGTGGACCAGAAAGTGACAGCAGGCCCAGGGGAAACAACTCATCTGCCTGACCCAGGTATAACCTAAGCACAGCCACGTGCAGAGGGTGAATCAGGCCAGACTGGTAATAAGTCTTACAAAAAGGTCAGGTTCCCATTTTGGACAAAGTGACAAAGGAAAAGCAAAGCAGTTGACTGAGAGTTAGCACAAACCAGGACTGTCTGGAAATAGTGACCAGTTCAGGGTGGCTAAAGGGCAGTGTGTGAGAGAGGTAGGATCTTTGGAGGAAGACAGCCTGCAAAGCAGGAGGGAATGGGCAACTTTCCTTCTGAAAGTATGTCTACTTGGTCTGGTGTACCGACCATCTTTTCCATACCTTGTGTGAAGAAGTAAACTCTGGTGCCATCACCTCTCACGTAGAAATTTCCTGATAGACACTGACCTACAGGGTAATATGGAAAAATAAAACCGAAGATATATTATTTTGAACTTCATCGATCATCCATTGTGCATCAGGCTGGGTGTAGTGGTCTACCTCTGTAATCCCAGTACTTGGGAGGTTGAGGCAGGAGGACCACCTCAACACTACCTCCAATAACAACAAATTGGATGTGCATGTTGGTGACATTTGATACTTATAGGAATGTGCGATTTCCTACAAAAGAACAACAGGAAAAACTGTTCTTCAGAAAAGAGCAACTCCATGGGAAAAATCAAACTTTAATCAGATAATACATGTCACCTAGACTGTGTTTTTTAAAAAAAATCTGTATTGTTTTTATGAGTGTATTGCCTGCATGTGTGTAAGTGCACCTGTGTTGTGCAGTGCCCGCGGAGATCTTAAGAGGGTGTTGAATCCCTTGAAACTGGAGTTATGGACAGTTGTTAGCTGCCATGTAGATGGAATAGAACTTGGGTCCTCTGCAAGAGCAGTCAGTGCTCTCAACTGCTGAGCCATCTTTCCAGACCCTAGACTGTGTTCTAGACTGGACTTGTACCACCACCACCACCAAACACAATCAATACAACAGTTTAACTAAACTTGCTCATCTCGCGTGACAACTCATACTGTCTTCACTGTGGACAGCTCTTCCTTTCTGCTCCTCTCTCTGGTCTTAAAATCTTTATGATTCTCCCACATGTTCCTTAATGTCTATGTATCATACACATTTCCTCCCAGTGAACGTTACTCGTATCAGGATTAAAATAATCACCTACACACTGCTTTTCTCACTCAGTAATACAGAAATCTCTCCAAAACCAGTTTCAGGGGGCTACTTTACTACCTTAGACAGCAAGCACAGTCCCCTATCTACAGACATTCGATTGTTTCTAAGGTTTTGTTTATACCTAGTTTTCTATGTTCCAAAGACTGTTGGACTGAATAACAAGCAATATTAGAATGCTTTAAAAAGGCCACAGCAATTTGCATTATTATAAGGAATGGAGGCATATAGCTCTTTCTTTGAATTGGGTGGCAACAGTGCTAAGAATTATCCTTTCATTTTTATTTCCCTGAAGTTGTTTATTGGTCATTTAGGTATGCTCTTCTGTGAATTGTTTGTTTGGGTGGGTCGTGGATCTTTTCCTTATCGAGTTCATGACAGTCCCTTGAAGAACAGATATCAATTAAGACTTTATCTGTTAAGACACACTGAAAATGACTTCTCAACCTGCCATCTGTTGCCTAACTTACTTTTATTTATGGTGATGAGGGTGTTGCATATGCCAGGAAAGTGCACTGCCACTTGGGTAAGCTCCCAGCGCTCTTCTAACTTAAAAAAAAATTCTAACAGTCTTGGGTACTGAACCCATGGACTTCAACATTCTAGGCAAGTGTTCTGCCACTGAGCTATGTATCCTACCTAACTCCCCTACATCTACCTTTTACTTTTTTTTTTAACTTTTGAGATGGGGCCTGAAACTCATGAATATCCTGCCTTAGCTGTTCAAATGCTGGGATGTTGGGATTATAGACCTGTATCACCAGGCCTGATTACCTAATCTAATTTGTTTTTCTTGGTTTGTTTCTTTTTTTCTTTTGGAGACAGAGTATCAATCCCTATACCAGGCTGTCCTGGAACTTGCTATGTAGCTGAGGATGACCTCAAACTTTTGCTCCCCCTGCTTCAGCCTCTCAAGTGCTGAGACTATAAGCATCACCATATCCAGCTGCAACATTTAAAATTATTTATGTAATCAAAAGACTTTCTAAAAATATGGTTATGTTAAGACTGTAAACTAGATAATAAAAATCTTAGGTCAGTTGGGAGACCCTGTCTCAAAGACAAAACAAAAAACCAAACAAACCAAATCTTGTATTTTCTTAAAAAATAGACCACCTTTCTTTTGCCAGAATTAAATGCATGTCTAGTCTGATGGCAAAACCATTTTGATTATAGTGCCAAACACCTTTCAAAAATGTAATTACTTTTTTGAGATAGGGTCTCATGCAGCCCAGACTGGCTTGCATCTTGCTATAGCTGAGCATGACTGAACTACAGCTCCTCCTGCCTCTACTTCCCAAGTGCTAGAATTACAGGCACACATCACACCTGTTATGCAACTCAAGGGATCAAATCCAGGGCTTTGTGCATGTTTAGGCAGGCACTCTACCAACTAAGATACATCCCCCATACCCCCTGAAAATACCATTTTTAAACCGAAGCTGAGCCATGTCATAGCGGCCATAGTCTCGAAGAAGCATCACCCCTCCAGGCTTCAGGAGTCTGCTTAGCCTGTTGATAGCTCCCTGCATTCTGTGGGACAACAGGGAATGAAGATTAAGTCTCCTTCTGGTCAAAGTTCTTCTCCCCCAGAGCACAACCCCAGAAGTCAATGGGCTTCCTAAATGACACACTGACACTAGAAGCACAGTTAAGAAGAGGCCTGTGTTCGGCCATAGGGCTCTACAGTGGTGAAAGTTCCAAGTCCTAAATCTGGTTCACTTCTTCCCAGTGATTGCCACCCTTCCCCCAGGTTCCTGTGGTTCTCTGGGAAGCCTGACCATACAGTGTAGGAACTACTAGTGACTCATCTATCCCACCAGACCTGAGCTCTATCTGTTGATAGACTGTCTTTCTGTTGAACTGTCCTATAGAATTTATAGTTGTCGAGTGTGGTGGCACATGCCTACATTCTCAGCTCTTGGAAGGCTGAGGCAGGAGGACCGTGAGTTTGAGGACAACTCAGGCCACTCAGTGAGATCTACGCAAAAAGAAAAGGTCCTAAAAAAAACCATACAAAGAACTCTCTGTTTACGTGGTGACATAAGCAGCATGCAGATGAGTACTAAGGGAAGATGCTTTACATCTGATACTGGACTCTCCCTCAAAGGCCCATGTGTTACCAGCTTGGCCTCTTCCTGGCACTACTGGAAGGTAGTTAAAATTCAAGGGGTGGGACCCAGTGGGAGATCTTTAGGTCACTGAGAAGGGTGGTGTGTGAGGTGCCTTGGAAGGGGACTGTGGGATTCTGTTCCCTTTCTCCTTTTACCCTCTGGCCAGAAGAGTGATTTGGCTTTGGCCATGATGTGCCACCATGCTGAAGCCTAAAAGCCAGCCAATCATGGACTAAAACCTACAAAACTATAAGCCAAAATAAATCCTTTCTCTTTCTAAGTTGATAGAGGGCTCATGCAGTATGGTAAAGGATAAGCATTCATAGCTCTTGAAGCATACACGCTACCAAAAACACCTCAGTCTCACCATATTCCTGTGAAGTAAGAGGGAAAATGGGCTAGGGGTCACTCAAAGCTCCTGCCCTGTGGAGCAGCACTGGGTCCTTGGCATCTTCAGTCATGTGACCTAGCAGACCCCCACATGTCTTGTCCTTTAACATCACATCAGTATCTGTTGGCTCTGATATTAATGGAGTGAGTAGATGTTTGAGGTCTCACAATCCCCTGGCCCGTGTCCTGACTCACTGGAATCAGGCAGTGTCAAAGGTGTCTCTGGCATCAGTTGATGGTGCTTAAATCTATCAGACACCATTTTATTTTAAAAAGATTTTATCTGTATTTGTGTATGAGTATCTTGCTTGCATGTATGTAAGTGCACCATGAACATGTCTACGTGACCGAGGAGGCCAGGAGAGGGCGTCTGATTCCCTGGAACTGGAGTTAAGGATAGGTGTTATATGCCATAAGCTAGGAACCAAATATGGGCTCTCTGGAAGAGTAGCCAGTACTCTTAACTGCTGAGCCATTTCTTCAGCCCATCAGACATAACTTTGCTTCCTTGAGAATAGTTTCAAAGGACTACCAGCTGCCTGAGGCACACAAGTTTTGTTTTTAGAGATAGGGGTTTTGCTATGTTGCCCAGGCTACCCTTGAATTCCTGAGCTAAAGGGATCCTTCTGCTTCAACTTCCTGTGTTACTGAGATTACAGGCACATAATCTTGTTTTCTTGGTTTAGGGGCTGAACCCAGGCATGCTAGGCACACATTCTACACTGAGCTATATATGGTCCCTACTTGTATATGCTAAACAAACACTCTGCCCCTGAACTATTATCACTAGCCCCCCTGCACATGAAGCTTTTTTTTTCCTTTCTTTTTTGTCTTTTTGAGACAAGGACTCCATGTAGCCCCAGCTGTCCTGGAACTCACTGTGTAGACCAGGCTGGCCTTGAACTCACAAAGATCTGTCTGCCTCTGCCTCCCAAGTGCTGGGGTTAAAGGCATGCACCACCACGTCCGGCGAAGCTTTTTAATTCTAAAGATTTATAGATTATGTACATGGGCATTCCTGCCTACATGTATGTATGTGCACCACATGCATGCCTGGTGCTCACAGAGTTTGGAAGGTGTGGGGTGCAGTAGAACTGGAGTTACAGATGATTGTGAGTCCCTATGTCAGTGCTGGGAGCTGAATGTAGGTCTGCAAAGGTCTCTTAACTGCTGAGCCTTCTCTCTAGCCTTTAAAATTTTTTTTATTACATTCATTTATTTAATTGTGTGTGGGTGTGCACATACTACAGAGCATGTTGAGAAAGTCAGAGGACAACTTGGGGGAGCGTTCTTGCCTTCCACCATTTGAGCCCCAGGGATCTAACTCAGGTTGTAAGTGCCTTTGTCTGCTGAGCCATCTTGCTGGCCATACATGAAGGCATTAAATGGTATCATGTACAATAGAACATCTGAATTCCCATTTCCTTTTTTTTTTTCTTTTTCTGGAGCTGAGGACTGAACCCAGGGCCTTGCGCTTGCTAGGCAAGCGTTCTACCACTGAGCTATGACTTTATGGACTTCTGTACTTGTTTTTCCAGAGAACACATTGGTTGAGCTTCACTGTGAATTTTGTGGTGTTAATGCCCTTATCTTATTTCGAGCATTTAAAAGGCCAATAATGAGATGGCCACCTTAACTCCGAAGCGGTGTGCTCTGAGTTTACTAAGAGGCAATCTCCCTACACACTCCTCATAGACTGATCCCCACAACAGTGAAAGAAGAGACCAGTCCACAGCCAGCAGGTAGAGAGGTTAAAGGCTGAAACAGAAGGTGGGTCTCAAGGCTTCAGTTGTGTGGCTTCTTCACATCTATTAAACATAATGAAAGCCCTTTTATTTAGGGCTCAATCCTAATTCAGTATTTGATCAAAGCTTTGTTAGGCTACTAGTTAAGGGACCTAAAACTTACTTGTCTGGGACAATTGCTGAAAGAACAAATATGAGAACGATGACATCAAGACTATCCCACGGCACCGGGTAACTCTGATCTTCATCACAAAGATTATGAACAAAGGCAAAACATCGAGAAGGATCATATTCTGAGTTTGTCTGCAGATAGGTGGAGAAACAAATGGATCAGCAAATGTGAATGCAGCATAGAGAAGCTTGCCTTGCTTTACATGCTGCTGTTACTCCAATCAGGGAGACTCATTTCTAGTCGCCACAACATGAGGTTTTCCAGGGAGGTTCAGAGGGCAAGGATCAGAACCACCACCAGGCATGGTGGCATAGGACTATAATCTCAGCACTGGGGAGGTGAAGGCAGGAGGACCAGGAGTTCAAGGCTAGCTAGCCTCCAGGAGACCTTGTCTCAAAAAAGAATTAGAACTATCCAGGGAAGACCCTATAGAATATAACTTGAGCTTTTAAAAGGGAACATTCCTATAGGGTATGGTGACACACATCTGTAAACCCAGCACTTAGGAGTTGGGAAATTATGAATTCAAGGCCAGCCTAAGCTACATAGTGAGACCCTTTGCCTTGTTTGCATGCATGCATAAGGCCTGGATTTGATTACCATCACCATCTCTCCCCCGCCCCAAACAAGGCAAAATAAACAACAAAAAGCCCCACTCCTGATTCCTCTACCTTTATTCCTTTTGCAGACAGAATCTCTATGTAGCACAGGCTGGCCTGCAACTTCAGATTCTCTTGCTTTTAGCATTCCAGGTTCTGGGATTGGAGGTGTGTGTCACCAGACCTGGTCTTACTTTCATTCTTTATTCTGATGTACTTTCTGCGCTTCCTCATCCAAGTCAGATCTGGGGATTGGAGAATGATTAGGAAAGTTAAGTGACCAATAAGGAAACAAACTTCGTAAGCAGAAAAACTAAATATGTATCAAAAGCATGACTGACACTTAGCTATAGAATATTATGCGGAATATAGAATTCTCCGGGAAAATCCTTATCTCTAGACGTAATGTCATAAAACTAAAGTTAAGCCTCAATATTCATCTGGTTTGGAGCTGTTCAGAAATGGGGAACATGAGACCTTGTCTCAAAAAATAAATAAAAGTTTGGAGAGGTTCAGAACCCTGCACAAGTTCTAGTTAGTGCCAGATTCAGTATCACGCCTGGCTCTTTTACTAATGGCAGTTTCACTAATGTTTGAACTTTAGGCCACAATAACAGTTAATGAACTTGGTTTTTGGGAGACTTCCTTTTCCTTTGGTTAATGAAAATACTGATAGGAGCTACTGTACTTACCCGGACCAATTCAATGGCCAAGGAAGAAAAATCACAGCAGTAAATGAAGACGCCTGGATTACTGAAATAGAAAAATAAAACCAAAAAATCAGAATAATTAGGCTAAAAACTGGATTATTTGAATAAACTGCACATGTTAATCACAACATAGCTCCAGTGATTAAAAGCACCTGCTACACAATCAGGAAGACAAGAGTTCAGATCCCAGCACTGGTGCAATTCTTGGGGCTAAGGTGCACTATCATTTGAAGTGGATTACTGAGAATGTGACTTCAAGAACAGAACAATCTTCTTTTCTTTACTCAAAGCTATATGATTTACAAGATTCTTTCGTAAGCTTCTAACAAAATGCTTATTTTTTTGCTTTTTCTTTTTTCAGAGGCAGGATTCCAAAGTATTGGTATCAGATTGGTCTTCAACTTGCTAATGTAGCCCAGGATGACCTTGAACTTCAGTTCCTCCTTCTATTTCCAGAATATAGGGATTGCAGGTATGTGCTACCACACTCAGCTTTATGAAGTGCTGGGGACTGACTGAACCCAGGGCTTAGTGAATGCTAGGCAAGCACTTACCAACTGAGCTATATCTCCAGCCTAATAAAAAGATACTAAAAACACTTTCATTTCCATATGTTGTATGTGTGTGTTCGTGCGTGTGTTCCCCGAACATTCACGTGCCTCTCACTGTATATGTGCAAGTCAGAGGATAACTTCTAGGAGCCTATTCTCTCCTTCTACCACGTGGATTCTGGGAATCAAACTTAGGTTGTCAAACATGGAGGCAAGCACCTTTACCTGCTGAACCATCTTGCTAGCCAGAAATATCTATTGTTTATTTATTTTTTTTGATTTGTTTTTACTTTGTATTTTGCCTGCAATAAAGCACCTGTGCATGCAGTGCCCATAGGGGCCAGAAGACAGCATCAGATCTCCATGGAACTGGGGTTACGGACAGTTGAGAGCTACCTTGTGGGTGCTAGGAACTGAACCCAGGTACTCTGCAAGGGCAACCAGTACTCTTTAACTGCTGAGCTATCTCTCCAGCCCCAGAAATACCTATTGAGGCTACTATGTCATTAACTGTTGAGTGGGGTCTTAGGTAGCATCAGAAAGGACAGCACCCAAAGATCAGATTAGAGAGCTCCAACTTTTAGTCTCCCTACCAACCTCCTAGAAAGGGGCTGGGAGGTATGGGAAAGAAAGGCACACCTCACTCCATGGGACTGATACTGAACTTGGGGACTTTTAGACCTTACCCCATGTATCTCCTTTTCATCTGGCCTTTCATCTGTACCCTTAATAATACCCTTCATAATGAACAGTGAAGTCACCTTCTCTAGGAAATCATTAAACCCTTATATAGCATATAGGACAAATGTGTGGGGCCTGTATTTGCAATCAGAATCTGAAGTGGGGAGATAGCTTATAGAACTGAGCCTCTAATTTCTGGATTTATGAACTTCAGGGAGATAGTATCAGAAATGAATTGCAGGACACCTGAATTACAGGCGCTGGAGATTTGGTCAACGTGGGGAAAACTTCACATTTCCAGTGTCAAGACAATTCTGTGTTCAAATACACAGAAGCAGTGTTTCCATCAGAATTGGAGACAACTTCATGGAGGCCAGGCGCCCCACCTTTACTACAGAGGTAATAAATGATAGCCAACTGCGAATTAATTGTTCATCACCCAGCTCATGAGAGAAATGGAAGATGAACATGCTCTGGGCATTTCAGAGGAAGTTGTATCAGCATTGTAATAGGTGCTTAATCTCACTAATGTCCCTGACATTAAACTAAAATAACCTCTAAATGGATAACATAGCCATCTAAATTCCTCATAGTCCATGTTTCTTGACAGCAAACTTCCATTTTTCTCTTCTTGACAACATACTTACTTGTTAGTTTGTAAAATTGGAAAGACCGTGTTTCCTACACCACAACCAACCTGTAGACAGAAATGAACTATTAGTCACAGAAGCTATTAATACTGCTTATTAATTTTTTTTCATTTATTTTTGTGTATGAGTGTTTTGCCCACATGTATGTAAGTGCACCATGAGTATGCCTGGTGCCTGCAGAGTCCAGAAGAGAAGTTGGATTCCCTGGAACTGGAGTTACTGATGGTTATTAGCAGCCATATGGGTGCTGGAACCAAACCCTGGTCCTCTGAACCCATGATATTCCTGATTCCTTCTAGACTCTTAATTAAAGAAGCATGGTAAAAGACAAGAACATGGACTTTCACTGGCAGAAGGAAGCTGGTCAGCTGTTACCTTCTGAGTTCTAGCAAATGGCCCTGTAAATAGAGTATTTTCCTACTGAGCCTCATTATACCATTATTCAAAGAACAGATAGAGTTGGGGCAGAGGACTCGGGTTCAATTCCCAGCACCCACATGGTGGCTATGAATCATCCTTAATTCCAGTTCCAGGGGAATCCAAAGCCCTCGTCTGATCTCTGAAGCATTGCACAACTCACATACATGTAGGCAATATACTCATACACATAAAATGAAAATAATAAATAAAATATGAAAAAAAAACAGTTGAAAAATTTGCGAAAAGGTGGATCATAGTAACCCCATCCTAAATATAGTTCCTGTGTGTAGTAATAAAAACAGCCAGCATTAGGCCAGATGTGGTGGCTCACACCTTTAATCTCAGCACTTGGGAGGCAGAGGCAGGTGGATCTCTATGAGTTCCAGGCTGGCCTGGTCTACATGGTGTGTTCCAGGCCAGCTGGGGCTACAGGGAGACCCTGTCTCAAAAATACCAAAACAAACAAACAAACAAACGCCAGCATTTACTGAGGGCTTACTATGTGGCAGACATACTTATTAGCCATTTTACCTACATTGCATCAAAGTTCCTTAGAACTAGGAGGCTCCCAATACCCATGGGGCTCATGTAATACCACACAAGAGACACTAGGGGTGCAGCTAAGTGGTAGAACACTTGTCTAATCTGTGGAAGGCCTTGGGTTCAATCCTCAGCCAACATCGTGCGCGCGCGCGCGCGCGCACACACACACACACACACACACACACACACACACACACACACTGATAGCATGGGACTCAATTCTAACTTTAACTTACTCTAAAATTAGCTTCTAGTGAAGCTGGTAGACCCCTATTTGTGAATTTCCCTTATATCCATCTATATACTTTCCCAGCCCCATTTGAGGTCAGTATGAGGGTCAAATTTGGTCAGTTTCATCAGCTAGAAGACACTGAGTTAGGCCTTTCTAGTCTGTCTTGCTTGTGCAATGTGATAGTTCTACTAACTCCATTACTAGAAATAAAAAAGCTTTACCTCAAGAATTCGGTAAGTGGCCGAGGATCCAGGAAACGCATCAGCACAAATTTCCAGGTGACTGAGCTTCTGAGTTACATTCTCTTCCACAGGAGGCATGTGGGCTTTACATCTGAGGCTGCCACAAGAACACTTGCGCTGTTTTTCTGTGGCCAGACCAGGTCCTTTCTCACTGCCTCCGCATTCAGAGATTTCGTTCTTCTTGTTGTCTGTGGACAAATCCTTCAGGGAACTTTGGCTTTGGCTAGGTGCCAGTTCGGGGAATTCGGTAAAAAGCCAGTGTCTATCCTTGAAAAACCCATTTTCATGAATTTTGTAGAATTCATTCCAGTATTTATGGGCATTGACCTCATAATCAACTGCAAATATTTAAGAATTTTAGGAATCAGTCTCAAATATTTTATTTATATCTAATGTCAATTATCCTGCTTCATCAAATGTCATTTCACACTATAAGTATCCTTAAATACAGCTACAGTCCTGGAGCTCAAGGCCCTTCTGACCTAATTTAGCCGTTACCTACCATCAAACGTTGATGTTACCTATTTCTCATGCCAGCAAACTTGACCTTCTTGAATCATTAGACAGAGACTTAGCTATCTATCATTCTCTCTCATCTTTTTTTAATGCTTGTTAAATTTTAAAAAATTAGTTTTTATTTTATGAGTTGTTTTGCCCATATGTAAATGCACCACATGCCTGTGGAGGCCAGAAGAGAGCATCAGATCCCCTAGAACTGGAGTTACAGATGGTTGTCAGTTGCTATGTGGGTACTGGGAATCAAACTTGGGTCCTGTGCAAAAGTAGCCAATGCTCTTAACTGCCGAGTCAGCTCTCTAGCCCAAGTCCAGGATGGGAAACTATAAAATTAAGCAAATCCCTAGCACCCAGCACATACATTTACACATAAAATTAGGCAAAATTCTGTCTAGTTATGTCTAGTTTCAAGATTCTACTTGTCAGGGCCACACAGACCTTTTGATATTGTGTGTAGTTATCTTTCCCCTCTAAAATCTTGTATTTTTTAAAAGTGTCTTGAGTTCTTTGGCTGTTCATGTAAATCCAATAGTTACTGCCCAAGCAGCACTTGGATAGGTAGCTAGCTTTATGGTTCTTTAGGGCGTGAGGTCAGTCATGAATTCATTATTATTAATAAATACTAAAAATGGAAACGGCAAAAGGAATCTGGACAGTGCAAAACTGCTTTCTGATGAGAAGAGTTTTGATGAATCATAGGAGAGACTAAATAAGAGAGATTATCTTTCTGCTTTTTGGCCAACATAAAGGCCCTGACTTGTGCTGATGAAAGAATAAACCTAAGGAATGGGATTTTAGTTTCACCACTGACTACTTACTTAGTTTTTGGACAAAGCACTTAATGTCCTGTGGTTCAAGTTTAATTTTTTTGGAGACAAGGTCTCCCTATGTTGCCCAGGATGGTCTGTGAGTGATCCTTCTGTCTCAGCCTTCCATGCAGCTGAGTCTACAGGTATGTAACACTGCACTTGGCTAAAGGTTTCTTTAACTGTAAGAAGGCTATTGGGCTATATGATTTTCAAAATCCCTTTCAACTCTATTTTGCTGTATCTAGTCTTTGTCAAACTATACAGGGTGAATATTCTGAAAACAGAATATATATACACACACGTGTGTGTGTAAAAGGTCTTACACTGTCCAGATTGGCTTGGAGCTTTATGTAGCCAGAGATAATTCTGAACTCCTGATCCTCATACCTCCACTTCCTAAGTGCTGAGATTACAGGTGTGCGCCATCAGGTCTGGCCTGTAACTGTAATCTTGTTAACAAAAAGACTTTCAGTATCATTCTTAAATCTCTAGCTTTATTCCCAAGTGTCTCTTAGGAATAGGACCAACCAGTCTTAGTTTTAGTCTCAGGGATATTGTACAATGAATCATCTTTGTCTTCAAAAAGGCCTTTTTTCTTTGACCAGCTCATCTCCAGGCCATTTCCCCTGTCTCTAGCAGGAGCCCTATATCTCCAATCCCATCATCCAAGGAAAAAAGACAGCACCACCAGTCAATAACACTCTCCTCTAACAATATTTAGGATTTGATCACGTCAATCTAAGCTTCAATGGCAACTCTTGAGCAGAATGTAAACCATGTAGAAAGTAGATTACACAATTGCACAGTTGCCACAGACCAGCCATATCAATATAGGACTAGTCTACACGATTTTATTTATTTATTTTTGGTCTTTTTGAGACAGGGTCTCCCTGTAGCCCCAGCTGTCCTTGAACTCACAGAGATCCGCCTGCCTCTGCCTCCCGAGTGCTGGGATCAAAGGCGTGCGCCACCACACCCGGCAGTCTACACAACTTTAAATGTAGACATTAGAAAAGAATAAAAACAAGAGCTATCCACCCCCAAATGCATCCGCGAAAACCCGTACAATTCAGCCCCAAGTTTCACCAAGATTTTCTTAGGAAACAGCCCCTTGCCGGGGTGTTTCCCCCCGACCCCCACCCCGTTCTATTGCCGGCCAGTAACCAAGGCTCCCGGGGAGGCACGTCCTGCAGTCCGCAGGCTTCGGATACCGCACCTTGCTTCTCCGGGCACACCCGCTGGGCGCTGTTCTCCTGCACTTTCCTCTCAGCAGCTGCGGCCTGCTCCTCCGACCACTCCACATTGTCCCTGGGAAAACCAAACGGGCAGCTTAGGGGCCTCATGCCCGGGTGAGTCACGGGCTCGCGGCGCCGGTCCCGGGAGGCGAGCGCAGGGGCGGAGCCGGCGCTCCGGGATGGCGGGCGCCTCGGGCCGCGCACTTACCAGGCGTTGTGGTGGAAGACGCGCGCCGGGTCTCTCAGAAACCGGCTCCCGAACTGCTGTCTCTTGCCGTCGAGGGTAGCTAGCACGCCTTCAGCGTAGGAGTCCGCCATGACACCGGAGACGGAAGCCCAGCGAGGACTTCCTGGGGGCTTCCCCGCCTCCCGGAAGGCGCCGCATCAGGGCGGGAAAAGCCGGAGGCCAGTGGGGCGCGGCGGGGCTGGCGCGGAGTGTTGCCGCTGTTCTCCCGGGCGCTGCTGATGGGCGTGTAGGCTAGGAGGAAAGTGAGGGACCCTTCCGCTGAGCCCCAAGTCAGTGCTGGAATCCCAACGTCCGGGACCTCCAGGTTACCCCAGGCTGTAAAGAGATGAAAAGCCGTTCACAGACAGGAGACGAGGGTCCCTAGACCCGTGGTGCTGACGGCGGGGAGGACGGGGAGGCCACGGGTGGATGTGCTGGACTCCTGAAAAATGGTCACTTAAAAAAAATTTTATATTCCCTTTTTGAATAGCCAGGCGTAATTGGCACAATAAAGATTGTAGTGCTTATGCATACACAGTTTGTAATATATAAAAGTGTATCTGTTTTATACATGTGTGTGCATATGTAATTTTTAAGGAAATAGCTGACTGTAGCGTATAGTGAGTGGTAATACATTTTCAGTCTTTTATTTCTATTTCCAAATCATTACAAATTGGTTCTTTTTTGTTTGGTTGTTTTGAGACAGGGTCTCTATCTAGCCCAGGCTGATCTGGAATTCGCTTTGTAGCCCAGGCTGGCCTTGAACTCAGGATGATCTTAATATCTCAGATTCTTGAATGTTGACATTACAGGAATGAGCCTCTATGCTTGGTGAAATTTATTCTTTTAAATAACTTATTTTAGAAGTTTTTGTACAAAGTTTTTGTATATATTGTAGGTTGAGCATATTCCTGCCATACCTTCTTCCCCTCCCTCCTCTTGTTCCTCCATACACACATTGCCTTTGTCTTCCTAGACTGTTTTACACCCATGAACAGATTCTTAACAGAATCCAGAGGAAAGTATGCTGTCAACAAGGTTGTTTGAGCAGACTTCTGCGTGATGCCTACCACTTGGAAGTGAAGGAGAGTTATTTAGTGCAGTTCTAGATAGAGTACACTGGTATTCCATTACAGATTCTACAGGTAAAAACAGGGATAATAGACTACTGAGCCTACCCAAGAAATGGGAGCAAGCTCTAAGCCTTCCTAACCACAGAGACAGACGCAAGTCAATAGAGTCAAGAACATGGATTTTTAAATTACATTTGTTCATTACATGGATTTTAAATTTTCCATTTGTTCATTGTGTGTATACAGTGAAGATATGGAGATCAGAGAACAATTTGAGGGGGTTGGTCTCTCCTACCATGTGGGTCCTGGAGATCAGGCTTGCCAACAGCGCCTTTATCTGCCTGCAGGTTGTGCACTGGGCCAGGTTTTCTGCTTTTGTGAGCTGTCACCTATACTGTCACCTATGCTGGAGTAGACTTTGGTGATGCAGCTGTCTTTGAGTCATTTTTGCTCTTGTAAATAACCCCTTATCCATATTCTTGTGAAAAGCCCCAATAAAGACCTATTGGTTCACCAGGTTGGATTATGGTGGTATTCTTACTTTGGTGTCGTTGGTTCCCTATCTGGGGTGAGTGGATGTTTGTTCATGTCTTCCCAGGAATAGTGTCACACAACAGCCATTTATAATCTGTAACAGTTGGGGCTTTATTTTTTTAAAGTTGTGCAGAGTGTCTTACTGTGTAGCTTAGGCTAACCTCAAATTCTGGATCTTCCTGCCTTATTCCTGCCAATGCTGGATTATAAGCATGTGCCTCCAAATGTTTTAACATATTCAATACAGTTTACACAACTATCTTTTGTTGGCCCATACAACTTATTTTTCTTCATCTTTTGAAACACCTAACAGTTTTGGGTAGAAGTTTGGAAGACAGGACTGCAAGGCTTCTGTGCTGTCAGACTACTCTGAGAATGTTTTCAGAGGTGCTAAGGGTCCCTCTGGTGGCGAGGGGGGGAAACTGTTTTGCTCTGGATGGCATGGGTTCAAGGCTTGTAAAGGTTAAGAGCGCTCATTCTGGATATTGCCTTGGGTGGTAGCCCAGGACAGGGCAGTTAATTATTTCACGCTTTTCTTTCAGTTCCAGGGAGTGTGATTCTGGGCTGTTTAAGCATGTGCTATGGAACAAAAGCACTGGGAAAGGATCTTGGTGTCTTAATTGATTCTTTTAAAATTTCACAGAACCTAGACAGCCTTTTACAGTCCAAGATAATTGTATAAATGGATTTAACAACTTCAGTGAAAAAACCTATTTTGTGTGTTTTTTTTTGGGGGGGGGTGTTGGGACTCAAACTCTGTGCTTGTATGCTAGCCAGTATTCTTCTACTGAGTTACTTCCTCAGCCTTTGTTTTTTTCCAATCTTAATTTTTAAAACGTCTGTCTATCTATATCTATCATCTATCATCTATCTATCTTATCTATCATCTATCTATCATCTATCTCTTATCTATCATCCATCTATCTAACCTATCTCTATGCATGTGTGTGCATGTGCCTGCACACGCGTGCCCCTGTGGTTCTGCATGCATACAGAGGTCAGATGACAATTTGCAGGAGTTGGTTCTGTCCTGTTATGTAAGCTCTGGGGATTGAACTCAGGTTGCCAGGCTTGGTGGCAATCACTTTTACTTGCTGAGCCAAACAAGCCATGGCCTCTTGTTTGTTTTTTGAGACAAGGTCTTGCTATAGGCCAGGCTGCCCTGGAACTTGAGATTCTCTATTGTCTCCTGAGTGTTGGACTTATAGGCATGTGTTACCACTCCCAGCTGTTTTTTTTTCCTGTTAAAAACCAAATAATGTAGGTGCTGGAGAGATGGCTGAGTGGTTTGAACACTGGTTGCTCTTGCAGAGGACCTGGGTTCGGGTCGCAGAACCTACATGGCTAACAACTGTCTGTAACTCAGATTCCAGGGGATCTGACATCTTCTTCTGGCTTCTGTGGGCATTTTATACACATGATACACCTACATACACATAGGCAAAACACTCATACACATAAATAAAAAAAGTATGTAGAATATTTAAAACATATGACAAGAAAATGTTTTATCCCACAATTTAATCCATACAATGCTTTGTTTTATATCTTCCTAGTTTTTCCATTAATTTATTTACATAAATAACTTTGAATTGGGGGTCTGGCTTGAGGTGGTCTGTGTTGCCCAGACTGACCTGGAACTTGAGATCCTCCTGCATCAGTCTCCTGAATGCTAGAATTTCAGGTGTGCACCACCATGCCTGGCTAAATAAGTAAATTAAAATATTTTAGGGGGCTGGAGAGATGGCTTAGAGGTTAAGAACACTGCTGTTCTTGCAGGGGGCTTGAGTTTGGTTCCCAGCACCCATATGGGGAAGATTATTTAATTGTTTGAAATGTCCATTAACTGGAGTTCCAGGGGATCCAATGCCTTCTGGGTTCTGTGGGCATTGCACACATGCGGTGCACTTAAATCTGTGCAGGCAAAACATACATATCAAAAAAATGTTTTAGAACAAATGATTTTGTGCTACTTTATCATTCATTCATTCATTCATTCATTTTTTTTGCCAAGGTCTCTGTGTGTAGCCTAGATGGCCTCAAACTCAGTGTCTGCCCGCCTTAGTCTCCTGAGTGCTGGGGTTATAGGCATACACCACCAAGTCTGTGCCCCCAGCCACCTTTTAAAGACTTCTGGCTTGGGGCTGCAGAGATGGCTCAGCGGTTAAGAACACTGGTTGTTCTGCAGAAGACCTGGGTTTGAATCCCAGCACCCACATGGCAGCTGACAACTGTCTGTAACTCCAGTCCCAGGGGATCTGACAGCCTCTTCTGACTTCCACGGGCAGGGCTGCAAGACATGGGTGCATGCAGGCAATACACGTATACACATAAAATAATAAACAGAAAAAGACTTCTGGCTAATTCTTTTAAACTTAACAATAACTTGGGGAAAATTATTTCATTGTTTGAAATGTTCTTTTGCAACATCATTGTAATGACTTTCTGGTATTGTTTTGGATAGCTGTATCATGACTTACTGACATTTATACTTTAAGTTTCTTACTATTAGCCTGGCTGGGTGTGGTGGTGTCCTAGTTTGTTTCTTCATTGCTGTGACAAAACACTCTGACCAGTACCAACTTGGGGAGGAAAGGGTTTATTTGTCTTACATCTCCCAGGTCGCAGTTCATCAGGGAGCCCAAGGTAGGAACTCAGGGCAGGAACCTGGAGGCAGGAGCTGGAGCACAGGCCATGGAGGAACGCTGCTTACTGGCTTGCTCCCCAGGCCCCTGCTCAGCCTGCTTTCTTATGCAACACAGGCCCACCTGCCCAGGGGTGGCACCACCAACAGTGGGCTGGGCCCTCCCACATCACTCATCAAGAAGATGCCCTTCAGACTTGGCCACAGGCCAGTCCAATAGAAGCAATTCCCCAATTGAGGCTCCCTCAACCCAGGTGTGTCAAGTTGACACAAAAGCTATCCAGCACAGGTGGCATACTCCTTTAATTCCAACACCAAGGAAGCAGAGGCAGGGGAATCTCTGTGAGTCTGAGGCCAGCTTGGTCTACATAGTAAGACCGTCTCAAAAAAAAAAAAAATCATCTGGCTATGGTGCAGTGCACTTTTAGTCCATCTGCTTAGGAGGCTTAAGTAGGGAGATTACGTGAGCCTGGAGTTCAAGGCCAGGCAAGGTACTAGAGTGAGACCCCATCTATTAAGAAAAAATTGCATCAGGCATGGTGGTGCACACCTTTAGTCCCAGTACTGGGGAGGCAGAGGCATGTGGATCTTTGTGAGATTGAGGTCAGCCTGGTCTACATAGTGAGTTCCAGGCCAGATGGGGCTAAAAGAAAAAAAAATTCAACATGATAAATATTTTCATAACTTTTTTTGTATATTCATGATTATTTTTAGGATTAATTTCTAAAAGTAGCCTTGTGGATATTTCATCTGAATTGAAAAATTACCTCTTGAATATGGGAGGAAAACTGGTCAGACTTGGGAGAGAAAGCCAGGAAACTCTAAGAGGTTGAGGAAAACTTAGAAAACTCACAAGCCACTCCTTTAGGTTATATAACCCCTGGACAATTCCTAGGAGAGGAAGTGAAGCTGCCTTTCTGAAAGTTGGGCGGGGAGCCCCAGGAATGTAGCTTTTGTGAGTCATGCTGGGGTGGGCTTTTCAGCGATGCAGCTGCCTGATACTTCTGTAAGGAATTCCTCACTCATGCTCCTGTAAGTAGCCCCAATAAACTCATTGGTTCATCAAGCAAGAATTGGGTGGTATATTTTCTTTGGTCATTGCTTTATGTGGGCTGAATAGATGTTTGTTCTCATGTGCCCAGCAAAAGACACAGGCATTGCTGAGTCAATAGTTATAATTAGATTGGTTACTAAGCTCTGTGAACTCAGGACATTCTATCTGTTACAGATCTAGATCCTAGAACAGGGTCTGGTGCACAGTATGCAACTAAACAAATTGGTGAATACCTGTTCTTACATTGTATTCTAGCAGAGAGGTGTCAGTTTATACTACCAACTGTAGTGTGTGACAATGTAATAGGAAGAGTGAATTGCTATACATTTTATGTCTAGAACAGAGCTACTTAAATATACCCTGTCTTGTCACCTCATTGATAAGGAAATATTCCAATCATTTTAATATTTTGGGTGTTATCTTTTGAGACAGAGTCTCATGTAGTTCAGGCTGGCCTCACATTTGTGCAGAGGATGACTTTGAATTCCTGATTCTTTTGTCTCTACTTCCCTAGTGTTGGGTTTACAAACATGTATCACCATGCTTATATCCTAATGGCATCCAAATTATCTTCCCAGATGTTCTGTTACACATATAGCTATATAAAAATATTTTGTGAAGGGAACTGGAGAGATGGCTCAGTAGTTAAGAACACTGGCTGCTCTTGCAGAGAACCCAGATTCAGTTCCCAGCACTCACATGGTGGCTAACAACCACATATATAACTCCAGTTCCAGTGGGTCCCTCACCTCCATGGGTACCAGGCATACACATAGTACACATACATTTTTTTTTATATTTTATTATTTTTATTTTATGTGTATGTGTGTATTGCCTGCATGTAGGTAAGCGCACCTGTGTCATGCAGTGCTCACAGAATGCGGTCACCGCCAGTGGCGGCTGCTCCTCCGTTCTCGTGGGTGCCACTCCTTCGTTCTCATGGGCATTGAGGCTCCTCCGCTCGCCTGGTGCTGAGGCAGCTCTTCTGCTTGCCCTGTGCTGCCTCCTGTCGTTGCCGCTTCTGCCCCCAGGGCTGGTGAGGAGACTGTGTCAGCAGACCCGCATTCAGACACAGGAGACCAGGTTCAGTGACACAAGTCTGCTTTATTGCAGGAAGGCACAAGCTTATATAGGGGTAGTGGTCCAATCACAGCACAGCAGGTAGGATACCTTATTAGCATAACAGGTTTAGCATCCTATCACTGTACAGCAAGTAGGATACCTTATTAGCATAACAGGCTTAGTGTCCTATTAGCGTAACAGACTTAATGTCCTATCACAGAATAGCGGGTAGGATGCCTCATTAGCATACTGGGTTTCAGATTACAGAGCCTGGATTCCTGGAAACCACGTGACCCTAACTGCTGCAATATCTAAGTGTTGCAATTTTGGATTCCAAGGGTGGTGATTAGGGAGTGGAGAACTCTAGGCATCAGTCTCATGATCTGCCAATAGGAGCAAATGTCACAAGGCATTCCTTGTGGCTCCAGTGGTCTGGCTGTTGCCTCGGGCCTGCTGTATGGCTGTCAATAAGACTTTCACCCTAGGCTCAAGACTGTTTCCCATAACAGAGGACAGAAGAGGCTGTTGGATCCCCTGGGTCTGGAGTTACAGACAATTCTTAGCTGCCATGTGGGTGCTGGGAGTCAAACCCAGGTCTTCTGCAAGAACAGCCAGTGTTCTTAACTGCTGAGCCATCTCTCCAGCCCATACACATACATTAAAAGAAATTATTGTGTATTTTATGTATATGAGTGTTTTGCCTGCATGTATGTAAGTGCATGCATGTTGTGCAATACCTGTGGAGGCCAAAAAAGGGCATCAGATCCCTGGAACTGGAGTTATCAATGGTTGTTAGTCACCATGTGGATGGTTATGGATGGTTGTTAGCCACCATGTGGGTGCTAGAAACCAAACCCAGGCCCTCCACAAGAGCAGCTAGTGCTCTTAACCACTGAGCCATCTCTCCAGCCCTCAAAATAAAGAAATCTTTAAAAAATACTTTGTCAAAATCATTATTCTTGTCTTTTAGTTAGAAAAGTTACTTATTAATATTTCCCCCAAATTATAACTTTATAAAGAGTAGCAAGTATATTTATTTTTAATTTTAAAATTACATCAGAGTTTGTGTGTGTGTGTGTGTGTGTGTGTGTGTGTGTGTGTGTGTGTGTTGCACTGAAGGTCAGAAGACAATTTGTAGGAGTCAGTTTTGTCCTTCCACTGTGTGGGTTCTTGGGGACTGGACTCAGTCATCAAATTTACTGGTAGGCACTTTACCCACAGAGCCATCTTACTGGATCCTATATTTTTTGAGACAAAGTATGGCTGTATTGTCTAGGATGGCCTTAGAATTCCTCACTGAGCTATGCCACCAGCTAGACCTTTAAATATTCAAGGTATTACAAAATTACTCTAGGGTAGTTTCGGCAATAGCTTTGGGGTCTTTGCTGCCTTCATTGCCTTTCTTGGCATTTTACATGGTGGCATATGCTGATAACCACAGAAATTGGGAGTCTGAGTCAAGAGAATCATGAGTTTGAGGAGAGCCTGTCTCAAGAAATAACAACAAGCTGGGCATGGTGTTGCATGCCTTTAATCCCAGCACTTGGGAGGCAGAGGCAGACCAATCTCTGTGTGATTAAGGCCAGCCTGATCTACATGGTGAATTCCAGGCCAGCTGTGGCTACAGATAGACTCTGCCTCAAAAACAAAAACAAACAAAAAAACCACCCCTCCAAAATCCCCAAACTTTTCTTACATTATAGTCTGGTGTTTTTATCAATGTTGAGCATAGCCTTTTGCTTTCCTAGTCTTTTGAGGTAGGGTAGACAGGGTCTCTTATGTAGCACAGACTGTCTTTGAACTCTTCCAATACTCCTGCCTCAGTATTCCAATTAGTTGGAATTACAGGTGTGTGCTACCATGCCTGGTTTCCTTTCTCTTTTCTAGATCAAGTTTTCTTCTAGAATAATGACTTAAAAATACTAAAATAATTTGTTCTGAACAGTTATTGGGATGGACTTAGCAACATACCTTCTAAACCAGTCTCTCAGGAAATTCTTGGAAATAGTTGCTATCATCCCTTACAATTTCTGATGAGAATCTCAGCATAAGAACTGGGAGTGAGGGTACACACCTGTAACCCTAGCACTTGGGGATTGTGGTAAGTTCAAGAGTAGTGATAGTGAGATTCATGTCAGTCAAGGTTACATGGTAAGGTGGGGAGAGGGGAAAGAGGGAGAGGGGAGAGGGGAGAGGGAGAGGGAGAGGGAGAGAGGCTATGAATGAATTACTAGGGCTTTGGGTATAGCTCAGTTGGCAGAGGGCTTGCCTAGTATGTATGAAGCTCTGGGTTTGACCCCCAATACTGCATTAATCTCAACACTCCTGGCACTGGGGAGGCAGAGACAGGAAGATCAGAAAGTTCAAGGTCATTGTTACCTATTTATCAAGTCTGAGGCTATCCTGGGTTACATGAGTCCCTATCTCTCTCTCTCTCTCTCTCTCTCTCTCTCTCTCTCTCTCTCACACACACACACACACACACACACACACAGAGGATAATTTGCATGGGAGATAAAGTACTTTTGTCATCCTGATAGTAATAAAAAGGTTAGTGCAGATTTAGTTTGTAGAATCCAAAAGTTATGTGTTTCCTTGTGATAAACTGTCAAAAACCAAAGAATGCCCTAAGAACTACAAGAGTGGAACTAGGAAAGATAAAAATGATACACAACTAAAAAATTTTAAGATAGTAAATTCTATATAATTAAATTTTAGCACAATAAAAATTATGTTCCAGGTTGAGGATATAGCTCTGTGGGTAAAGGGCTTGCTGTGCAAGCATGAGGACCTGAGTTCTGATTGCAAGCACTGACATAAAAATTTGAGTGTGGAGGTGTGTGTCTGTAAATACAGCACTGGGGTCAGGGCAGAGGCAGGCAGATTCTGGGGGCTCTCTGGGTGTCAGTCTAGTCAAAACAACAAGCCCTAGCTCCAGTAAGAGACTCAAAAAATAAAGTGAGGAAGTTATTGGGAATATCCTGACATCAACCTCTGGCCTCCACACAAGCACACGTGTACACATGCACACATACCACATGCACACACAAACAAAATTATGATATTCCCATAAATTTGCAATATAGTTATATATGCCCTTTAATTAGATGCACAAGTAACAACAACAAATATAATGGATGAGCTCAGCTATTTGCAAGAGTCATCCAAATGATAAATTCTGCAGGGGCACAGCTAAGGAGCCCTAGGAATCCCCAAATTTAATCAAGGTTCCCTGTGGGGAGTGCTGATGATACTCCATAAAACTGCCTCTGGCCTCTTTCACAAACATTAAAAAACCCAGTCCTATTTACAGTCACCCCAGACTCACTGCTTAGAGGACCTTTGGGAGCTCAGGCTAGTGATTTTTCCTTTTTGCTTAGTCCTTGGCTGTTTTAAGCCAAGTGTTGTTAGAGCAACTGGCTCTAACAACAGGGTGACCACTTTGAACTAGTATAGATTTGGGAAAGAGAAACCTTTTTATGATTTATACCTTTTTACTGGTCAGAATCCAAAAGATGTCAAAATTTTCACCTGCTAAGAATGTACCAGACAAAAGCAAGCAACCCTAATTTTGATAACTGAACATTCTCGATGAGTTGTTTAGAAAACGTAGAAATTTCACTGTCGAAATCCTTTGAAGCCTTTCCGTTTTCTTTTCCTTCCTGACTCTAGGTCATATTCACTGAGATTTGATGAGGAAGAGAATCCAGAGTTGCTGGAGGAATTCCTGTTCACGTAGGCATCATGTAAGCGTAAGTCCTTAGGAGAAAGTAATTCTTGGCAAACATTCCAGGACCATGTGTAAATAGAAAAGGTGTCATAAAAGGACTCATTCTTAGTGTCTATTCCAATCAAATCCCCTCGGACCTTTCTCCAGAGATTCAGCATTTCTTTCCGGTGTTCAAGGGCAATTCCTAAATTATAGGTATCTGTAGCTTTCTTTACCTGCAACAAGAGAGTAGACATTTACTTACTTAACTATCTTTGATTTATGGATCATAATTATGAATGACTTGAGTTACATGTATGAAAATTACTGAGTCTACACCTGGAGTAGCATGGGAACAGACTAGGAGTTGATGGAAATCAAAACATATTACTTGAAAACAACGAAATAATTTTTTATTTGGAGATAGGGTCTCACTATTTATCCCTTGCTGTCCTGGAACTTACTATGTAGATCAGGCTGGCCTCAAACTCACAGAGATCTGCCTGCCTCTGCCTCCTGAGTGCTGAAAATACTAATGTCATAAAAAATTTTAAAATGTAATGTACTAAGACAGGGAGAAGTGTGGGACAGAGTTAGGATGTAGAGTTGGGAACTGATTCAGCCTAGGACAGGAAGAACTACATGGGAGTGCTGAGCTAAACAAATCCTTCAGGAGATGAGCAAAGTGAGGGAGATGTCAGTGGTGGTGGGCCAAACCTTTAATCCTCGTACTCTGGAGGCAGAAGCAGGTGGATTTCTGTGAGATGGAGGCCAGCTTGGTCTACATAGCAAATTTCAGGTCAGTCGGGGCTTTGACCTTTCTCAAAACCAAAAACCCAAAAAATGAAATTGAAGAAGAGGGGTAATATGAAGGGTTTTCAGGTAGTGGAGGCTGCACATAAATTCTCAAAGACAATAAAACATCCTGCAGTTAACAGACATGTTTGAGCACCTGGGTGTTGCTAGAGTGTTACATGCAAAGTGAGAGGAAAAGGTTGGTGGTGGAGTGACCTTGCCAGCTAGTGTTCAATGCGGTTGAGGAGAGACCTTCACAGGAATCATGCTGTAGGAGCTAGTTTCTGCGGAAAGTAAAATGAATCTTTCAGTTGTGTAGAGTCAAAAATAAAATAGAAAACCCTGGCACTACTAGAAGGGCTGGCTCACTAACCCAGGCTGTCCTTGAATGTACTATGTAGCCCAGGCTGCTCTCCAACTTGTAACCCTCCTGGCTCAGCCCAAGCAGCCTGGCTTTGCCCTTGAAGCAGGACAAAGGCATGCTTGCCTCTTCATGTTAAGTCATTAGCAGCTGGAAGGGAACAGCTGCATAAGTAAGAATACCAGATTGGAGGCTGCTATGCAGGCAGGTCCTATGGAAGGCCTCACCCCAGGCAGAGGTAACAGGGTTAAAGAAAACAGATTTGGAATCATTCCAGAATGAGTGAGGCTAGATTTGGTGATTAGTGGATGTAAGAAGTGAAGAAAAAAGGAATGTTGAGGACATCTTCCGACCTTCTGACTTCAGTTATTGAGTAAATGGTGGAATCAACAGTTGAGACACAGGAGTCTCATGGGAGGGCCAGTTGATGTAGAAGATGAGTTGGCCTAGGGCGTGTTGAGTTTGATGTGTTATGAGACCTAGCACAGAAGTAGAAATGTTTATCAGGTGACCACTGAGACAAGGCAGAAGTACAGGAAAGAAGCCGAGGCAAGGGACCAATGTAAGAGTTAACAGTAGATAGATGGATGTGGAGAAACAAAGGTAGACTGAAATAGCCCATATAATCTAGTTTCCTTCACTTGAGATCCTCAGTGCTCTTCTATGACTGGATTATAGAGAGACTACACTATTTTCAAGCTTCTTAGCCCTTGGGCCAGCTGCTGCTTTGGGGCTGGAGGCTGCTGTCCATGGGCAGCCTTATTCACTTGAGTGCATATGTGATAACAATGAGACATAAGTCAGCTGCTCACTCCATTGTGTTTTGGGGTACGTGGTACTGAACTCCTAAAGTTCCATGTATCCTGCTGCATTGCTACTGTCCACTTCCTTCTCCTCGACCTTCACCCTCACCCCAAGCTTGCTTAGAGGAGGAACTGTGCTGTGCTCTCTATGATCTCTCCTAATCTCAGAGCTCATGGGTAAACTGAACAGATGAGTGGGTGAGGGTGCACAATGAGAAGACAGTAGTGTGAGTGGAGAATGAGACATAGTCCTGGGGGATTCAGGAACGAGGAAAGGCACGGACCAGAACTACAAGACCTGAGGGTGTAATCTGTAAAGGCCAAGGAAGTAAAAGTGTCAAGAGCTTGATGAGTAGTGTCCGATGCAGAAGGAGGCGGTGTAGAGTCAATGTGTCCTGGTCCTTCTCCATGAGGCTGCTAAGAAGTCACTTGAAAAAATAGGCAGTACAGAGTTGGGGTTAAAAGTGTGTACTCTGGAGCTACTTTGTCTATGTTTTCATGGGTATGTGCACATGTGTGTAAGTGTGTACTGGAGGTTAATCTCAGGTAGCTACCTCAGCTGTTATTCCTTAGGCGCCATTCCCTTTTCTTGTTGTTTTGTTTTCGGAGACTGGGTCTCACTGTGTAGCCCTGGGTGGCCTTGTTTTAGGGTCTCTCCTTGGCCTAAAACTCTCTAAGTAGGCGAGGCTGGCTGGCAGGGAAGCCCCAGGGATCCACTTGTCTCTATCTCCTAGCTCTAGGATTATAAATATGTGCTGCCATACTAGGACTTTAAAATATTATTCCTTTATTTACTTATTACTCAGGTCCTTGAGCTTGCAAGGCAAGCACTTTACTGAATGAGCTATCTCCCAGCCCCAAGCTTATAGACATTGATATATTACCTACTAGCTGTGTGCTTTTGGGCAAATCACTTAACTTTTCTGTGCATATTTGTAAAATTCCCAGGAATGACAACAATGCCTTGCTTCAAAAGGTTGTAGTGATAGTTAAATGGATGGGTGCTGGCAGCACTTGTGGAGATCCTTGGGAGCACAGTGCTAGGCACTTAGGGGGCTCCTTCCACTTCAGTGTTCTAGCGGCTGCATAATGCTAGCTTTCATCCATCACTCCCTGAGGACTGCTCATGGGACTGTGGGATTACTACCTTAATTTGTTTGCTATTTCCAAAGTGAAATAAATGACACTCCCAGAAATGACGTTGGGCACTGCTACATAGGTGATTAGTAGGATGAATCATAGCACTTAACCTTTGAATCCATTTGATAAGGAGTAAGAAATATTGGCATTCCAGTGATAAAATGAGAACCTCTCTTGTCTGTTGGCTTTTGAGAACAGGTTCTCATGTTAGCTCAGGCCGGCCTGGAACGCTGATCCTCCTGCCTCTACCTGAGTGCTGGGATTACAGGTGTGTGCACCGTGTCCAGCTCATCTTGTCTCATTTTAAAGTGGAAATTTTTGTCTGTTTTTGCAGACAAGTCTTCCCAGCAGAAAGTCCTTTTATCAGTGCAGTCTGGGAAGGCATTCAACAGTGAGTACTCACGTGCTGTTTAATAGCAGCTGCATCTGATACTGTCCAGTGTTGCTTTCTCTTGAATAGTTGGTCAATGGCTAAGATTTCATCAGAATAGCCTGAGGCAGACTTGATAGACTTTATATTCATTGCCTTTATGCACATTAAAAAAAGAGTAATACATTTTAGTTTGAATTATACAACAAAGACATATTATACATATGTGTGAATTGTTATAGTGAAACTCATTTGTATGCTAATTTTAAAAACTGATTCAAAAAAGACAAACAAGAAAAAAATATTAGTTTGAAGTCGAATGTGTTTTGCATGCCTGTAAATGTCAGCCCTCAGGATACTCAGAAAAGAGGACTGCTCTGAGTTCAAGGCCATCCTGGGCTACATAGTGTTTTAGGCCTGTCTGGGCTACAAAGTGAAACCTGTCTCACAAAAACAAAAACAGATTATTATGAGAGGATTTGTATATGACTTATAAAGTTGTTGCTAAACCATTTGTCAGTCATTTTGGAACACCTAGCGTGGTGCATATGTACACAGGCATTTAGTAAATCCTCTGTAATAATAACGAAATCTACTTATAGGAGAAACACTGACCAGATGGTTTATGTGTGGAGTGGATAGGGAGGGTAGCGAGGAGCCAATTCCACCCTGACCCAGTCTTCCTAAGCTATTGCAAAGAGCTGAAAGAGAAGATACTGTCCACAGTCTCTGTTGCTGCCCAACTTTCCACAGGAAGCAGCCTCTGTTTTTCCTGTTGTTGGGCCGTTGAACAATGCTAGGGGAAATTATGTAAATATACTGCTCATTTTCTTTGAACTTGTTTATTACCTAATCTTATCCATACTGCTTGACATTCCTTTTCTTCATTTACTGTTAACACTCAGAGTGGCTACTGGAAAGTCAGACCTCAGCTGCTGATCTGGTCTCTTTAAAGCTATCTAGCATGGATTCTCTTAACTCTTCTTCCCATCTTGTGATTTCTTCATCATTTAACCAATTTCAAAAACAGATTTATTTATTTATTTTTAAATATTTTATGTGTATGAGTGTTATGCCTGCATGTAACTAAGTGCACCGTGTTGTACAATGCCCATGGAGGACAGAAGAGGCTGTCGGATCTCCTCGAGCTGGAGTTATGGACAGTTGTTAGCTGCCATGTGGGTACTGGGATTCGAACCTGGGTCTTCTGCAAGATCAGTTAATGTTCTTAACCGCTGAGCCATCTCTCCAGCTCAAAACTGATTTTAATTAAGAGTGTGTGTGTGTGTGTATGTGCGCGCGTGTCTGTCTGTCTGTCTATGTCTGTGTGTCTGTGTGGGTATGTGCATGTGAGTTTGGGCACTCAAGGAGGCCAGAAGAGGGTGTTGAATTCCCTGGAGCTGGAGTTACAGGTAGTTGTGAGCCTCCCAATATGGGTTCTGGAATAGAACTCGGGTCCTCTAGAAAAGCAGGAAGCACTCTTACCCACTGAGCCATCTCTCTAGCCCCCTTTAGCCCATTTTTTCCCTCCTGTATATGTTAGTTTTTTCCTGATTTCCATAGCCCAAAGTCTCCCTTTTATTCTTTATATAGTCTGCCCTGGGATCTTTAAGCATTTTTAACAATTACATTTATTTATTTAATTTATTTTGTGTGGTTGTGTGTGTGTGTACATGAATGCATTTGGAGGTCAGAGGACAACTTGCAGGAGATGGTTCTCGCCTTTCACCATGTGGGACCTGGGGATCAAACTCAGTTGTGAGGCTTTGTGGCAAGCACATTTACCTGCAAACACCAGCCCAGCCCTGGGATCTAACACTTTACTTTTCCTTTCTCCAGGGCCAGCCTCCTGTGACCTGTGACCTGCACAGTTACACAGGGCTTCACACTTAGGAGGGCTCTGCATTTGGTCTAATGTTCTGCTGTTGTTGTGTTGACTTTTTATGGGATCTTCCTAGATAATTCAGCCTGGCTTTGGGTTCTCAAGCCTCATGTTTCAGTAACCTGAGTGCTGGGATTACAGATGTGAGCTACCCACCTATCTTATACTGAAATGTGTGATTTTTGTGTGTTTTCTTTTGGTGCCTTACTCATCCTAAGCATGCAGTCTATCACTCAGCTCTGCCCCAGACCCTTGAATAGTTTTGAAGGGGCTTCACATTTTCATCTCGTACTGGGTCCTGCAGATTACGCAGCCAGTTCTGCCATCTTCTCATACATTCAATTTTTTTTGTAGTTTTTTTTCCTGATATTTGGCTGCATGATGGAATTTGTGATTTGTGATTTGGAATTTGTAGCCTGAGCATCTTTTTTTTTATTTTAAAAATTTTTAAAAATGTGTGTGTGCAAGATGTGTGTGTGTGGACATGTGTGTTCATGAGTGTGTCATGGTATGTGTGTAGAAGTCAGAGGACACTATGTGGCAATGATTCTCTCCTGCCTTTATGTGGGTTCTGGGAATCCAACTCAGGGAGTCAGGCTTGTGCAGCAAGTGTTTTACCTGTTGAGCTGTCTTTCCAGCCCTTAAAAGAGTTTGTTTTGTATTTTGGTATGGGCTATGTTAGTCTTGGGATTTGGAAATATTTGTATTTATGTCTGCAGACTTCTCAAGGTTGTGATGGTTTGAAACTAACTTTAGGATAACTGCAGCTTGGAGAGTTTCTCTAGTGTGGAAACTGTGAGTTCTAACTGCATATCTATGCATTCCTTAATCTCAAGCTTGTTTTTTTTTTTTTTAAAGAAAATATTTTATTATTTTTATTTTGTGTGTATGAGTGTATGCCTGCCATGTATGTAAGTGAACCTGTGTCATGGCTTCGGAGGTCAGAAGAGGGCGTTGGATTCCCTGGAACTGGAGTTATGGATGGTTGTTAGCGGCCATGTGGGTGCTGGGAATCGAACCCAGGTCCTCTGCAAGAGCAGCAGTGCTCTTAACCACTGAGCTATCTTTCCAGCTCCTAATCTCAAGTTTTAAATTTCTCACAGAATACTTAATTCTCCATTGACAGGTTTTTGGCAGGTCAGTCTTGGGCCTTTCATTGAATTTTTTTTTTTCAATCTTTTTGAGACAGGGTCTCCCTGTAGCCCCAGCTGTCCTGGAACTCTCTATGTAGACCAGGCTGGCCTTGAACTCACAGAGATCTGCCTGCCTCTGCCTCCTGAGTGCTGGGATTGAATTTTTTTTTTTTTTCAAACTCTTTCACTCAGAGGGCAAAACTCTCAGATTCTGTTTTTTTTTTTTTTTTTTAAACCAGTCTTAGTGACAGCTCCTTAACTCCAGGGATCTACTCCTCTTCACCCAGAATCATCAGCCCAAACCTGGTCCCAAAATCTGTCTATGTGATCTTCCTGCCTCCCTTTTCTGGTTATTCCCAGGGCTATGTTGCGAGCTCAATGTTAGAGTTTTAGGTTTTCTCTTGCTTTTTGAAACACAGGAATTTTGCTTGCTTCTGAGGACATTTTTGAATGTTTGCTATTTTGTTTCATCTAGCATTTTTTTTTTTCGGTCTTTTTGAAGCAGGGTTTCCCTGTAGCCCCAGCTGGCCTGGAACTCACTATAGACCAGGCTGGCCTTGAACTCACAGAGATCTGCCTGCTTCTGCCTCCCAAGTGCTGGGACTACAGGCATGTGCCACCACACCTGGCTGATCTAGTATTTTTATGAGGCATTTAAGAGTCTCCATGTGGGAACTGTAATAGGGAGTAGATAGATGATGGGTGTGTCCATTACCTGTGTTATTTTTATTCTGAACTTGAAAATCTCATTTCTTAGTTCCAATGAACATTTATAAATACATAGCATATTATATTAGATGTTGCAGTATATTAGATTGGACATAATATACCATGTAGTATATTACATCTCATGTGATATGCATCTATATATACATATAAAATTATAAAAGTAAATATATTTTTTATTTTTTTTGTTTTTCTTAGAGCGTCTCTCTCTCTCTCTCTCTCTCTCTGTGGCATATACATGTGTGCATGTGGGTGTGCTTGTTTATGCACGTGCATGTGGAGGCCAGAAGTGGACTTCAGATGTCTTCATCAATTGCTCTCCACCAAGTTTTTAAATTACTTAATTATTAATTTAAATGTTTAAATTTTTTATATTTAAAAAAGTTAAAATTTATTTTTATTTTATGTGTATGAGTGTTATGCCTGCCCTGCATGTATGTAAGTGCACCCATGTCATGCAATACCTGCAGAGGCCAGAATATAGTGTAAGATCCCCTGGAACTGGAGTTAGAGATGATTATTAGCTGTCATGTGGGTGCTGGGAATAGAACCCAGGTCCTCTGCAAGAGTAGCCAGTGCTCTTAACCATTAAGCCACCTCTCCAGACCCTATTTTATTTATTTTTAAACTTTATTTATTTTTTTATGTGTATGAGTGTTATGCCTGCATGTATATAAGTGCAACCATGTTGTGAAGTACTCATGGAGGCCAGAAAAGGGCATTGGATCCCCTGGAACTGGAGTTACGGATGGTTGTTAGCTGTCATGTGGATGCTGGGATTCGAATCTGAGTCTTCTGCAAGAGCAGCCAGTGCTCTTAATAAATGAGTCATCTCTCTAGCCCGTTTACCATGTTTTTTGAGACAGGCTCTCTCACTGAGCATGGGCTCAGCTAGATTGACAGGCCTCAGGATCTGCCTGTGTCTGCCTTCCCCAACCTCCAATGCTGTGGTTACAGGCATGTGCCACCACTCCATCTTGTATGTGGGTCCTGGGGATCTGAACTGAGGTCCTCATGCTTGCTCAGTAAGTACTTTACCACACTGAATCATCTTCCCAGCCCTAAATATAAGCTCTATGGCATATTAGATATAGAATATTATTGTATTTATGAACATTATCATATTTATAAGTATACATATAATACAGTAGGTGTAGATTAAAATGTGCATATATGTATATATATAATAAATGTCAATACATTAGATATAACATGTAGTAGATAGTAACAAATGTTATGGAAAAGTTAGGGAAGAGAGTAGGTTAATTAGAAGCTATTACTTTATTAAAATATATATTTAAAAAGTAATTTATTACTGGGTGTGGCAGCATATGCTGTAATCCTAGCACTTGGGGGCCTGAGACAGGAGGGTCACTGAATTCAAAGCCAGCCTGAGTTAAGTGTGAGACTCTCTCTTAAAAAGAAGTCAACCCAACTATTGTGCTGCACTCTCATGTAACATAAAATTACCACATGAAGTGAACAATTCAGTGACAGTTTTAATCCACTGACTTGTGGGGATTATGATTTTAATAGGACTGTTATAGGAGACTCCTGATGTGACAGATGAGCAAAGACCTGACAGAGGTGAGGAAGAGAGGTATCCAGATATTTGGAGAAGGGCAAAGTATGAGGATGAGATGGGAATGTGTGAAGTGTGTCAGGTGACAGTAAAGAGGCCTTGTAGGTGGAGCAAGGAGGGTTAGCAGAGGGAGATGAGCTGTTTGCTAGGAATAAGTGTCTAGATTGGTGATGTTCACTAAAGCTTCCCACAACGATGGAAATGTTCTGTGTTTCTGTGTGTTTTGTATGATATGTATGATAGCTTCAGTCACAGATGGCTATTCTAACACCTGAGCTGTGTGTAGTATAATGAGGGAACTGGATTTGTAATTTTATGTAAATTTTTATCAATTTCAATTAATTTTAAATTTTTCCCAAAGATTTATTTATTTTTATTTATATGTATATGTGGGTACCTGCATGAATTTTTGTGCACCACATGTGTGTGAGTGGTCATGGAGGCTAGAAGAGGGCGTCAGATTCCCTGGAATTGGAGTTACAGGCAGTTGTGAGATGTCAGATGTGGGTACAGGGAGTTGAACCTAGGTCCTCTGCAAGAACAGCAAGTGCTTTCAACTCCTGAGCCATCTCTGCAGCTTCAATCAATTTCAATTTTAACAGCCACTAGTGGCTGTAATTGTCTCACTCTAGCTGAGACAGACCTGGAATTCAATATGTAGCCCAGCTGGCCTTGAATCTTGGCTGTCTTTCTGTTTTACCCTCCTGAATGCTGGAATTACCAGTGTGAGCCACCATGGCTGGTTTATTATTTTTCTTAAATTCCCTATTCCATCTCCAAGCCTAGATTTGTCACTTTTGGTAATTTGACCCATTCGTTGAAATAGTTATACCTGGGCTTACAGTTAGGAACATGACTATGGACTCTTATTTGAAATATGATGGCTAAAGATGATTTGTCATGTGTTGTAAAGGTTGTAGCTCAGCTGGTAAGTGCTTGCCTTGCATGCATGAGGGCCTGGGTTTGATCCCCATCACCATATTAACTGGGGATAGTGGTGCATTTCTATAATTCCAGTACTCAGGAGGTAGAGGTAGGAAGATTAGAAGTTTGAGGTCATCCTTGGCTAAATAGCAAGTTTGAGGCCAGCCTGGGCAACCTGAGATCTTGTCTCAAAAAACCCCCCCAAAACCCAAAAATACAAACAAACAACCCCCCCCCCCAAAAAAAAAACCAATAGGCCGGGCATGGTGGTGCACGCCTTTAATCCCAGCACTCAGGAGGCAGAGGCAGGTGGATCTCTGTGAGTTCAAGGCCAGCCTGGTCTACACAGTAAGTTCCAGGACAGCAGGGACTACAGGGAAACCCTGTCTCAAAAAGACCAAAAAACAAACACACAAACAAAAAACCCTAAAACCACAAACCAAGAAAACAAACAAATAAAATTTGAAAAAGAGAAAATAAGCCAAGCGTGGTGGTGCACACTCAGGAGGCAGAGGCAGGCTGATCTCTGTGAATTCAAGACCAGCCCGGTCTACATAGTGAGTTCCAGACCAGCCAGAGCTACATAGTGAGACCTTGTCTCAAGCTAACCAAACAAAACCCAAACAAAACAGAAATGAAAAACACCCCAGAATAATGACAACAAATACAACCCCCAATTCACCCTGACACTTGTCATGAAAAATGTGCTGTTCTGTGGTGTTGGATACCTACAAATAGAAGTATTTGAATTCACTGGTATGACATATCTAAATCTCACCTGTGTTTTCCAATCTCTCTTATTGAAAAAATAGTCCTCAAAGAAATGCAGAGGCTCCTTTCTCCTTAGCATTTCGAATTTCTGTATATCTTTGAATGGCTTTCCCATCACCACCCCATCCACAGCAGGAAGCAATGGAAAGACAGGTATTTTTGAGTATGGGCTACCTGTAGGGAGATTGCATCCTAGAAAGATGAAAACAAAAATGGCATCACAGTACTGTAAGAGGTCCCCATAAAGACAAGCGGGCAGAGCCTAGTTTGCTTTTCATCTGATCCCCTTGGTGGCCCTGGCCCTCTGCCTTGGTCTCCCGCTCCCATTCCCCACGCATCTGCAGACCCTTGGCTTCACCTAGATGTCTGAGGGCTCAGGCTGAGGGTACTTTCAAATGGCATCTGTGTGACAGAGTAGCTGCTCAGAAGAGCCTCAGATTTTGCTCTTGCCTCTAGTATTTACTCTGACCAGGCCTGTACAAATAAATTCTTTATAACTGTGGAGAGGGGGAAAATGGCTCTTACTCTTGAGCTCTTCAAGGAACTTAAATAAATCCTTCTCTTTCATTATTGAAATCCGGGCAGAATTAGCAAAGGCATCCATGCTTGAGCGTGGAGGTGTGCATATATCTGGCTTAAACCTTCTTTTTCCATAGGGACTCCACAGTATTTCTGAATTGCTTTCCTGGAATTTTTTTCGGAAATAGCTTAAGAAGAAAAAAAAAAGTAATTCAGAAATGGATATAAATAACTGTAGGATAGAAAGAAAAAAAATCAAACACGAGTTAGATTCTGAATAAGTTTACTTTAAATCTATTTTAAACTATTCATTAGAAGATAACAGAAGGTACTGTTATTACATTTTCCCAAATTAAAGCCTTATTTATACTTTCACTCTTTCCACTTTGTCGGACACTGAACAGTTTTGTCTTTTCTAATCCTTGTTAGACTACTGATTTAAAGAAAAAAAAATAAAAAGAGAAAGCCAACTTTGTAAACACCTCCAGAGTTTAATTTTATAATAAAACTGTTTGAATAATTAGACCTTTCCATTAATAAAGATAAAATAAATGTAATCTTTTACCTTATTTTGCTCAATTAAAAGATCAAAATGGTAAAAACAATATGAAATTTAACATTTTAATACTGATGTTGTACACTGTTTTACTTAATATTTTGGAAAGTAACTGCCTCAGATGTCAACTCAGAAAACACTTTTTTGTTGCTAATGTAATTGGTTTTTGTAATGGCAACCAGCAAATAAAGGGATGCTTATTATTCAAAAAAATCCCTCCTCTACCTTCATCTCTTTGTCTCTGTGTATCTCACTCTCACTCTTGCTCTCCTTCCTTTGATGACCCAGTATCATGAGGATTACTTAGTGTCTGGGGTGAGGGATTATTTACAAGAGTCTAGGTTCCTTACCAGTGGCCACAAGACTGAAGAAGAAAATCTCCCCCTCCTCCTGTGACCATTAAGTGCTTAAATATACTCAGGGATGGGGGGCCTTCCAGACCCTAGCTACCATTATCTGCCTATAGGTCCTGGAAGTGGGGTGCTCAGGGCCCCTATTTTGTGCAGGTCTCGTGCTGGTGATTTTGACTGCTGTGGGATCAAGAGTATAACAGTGGTGCTGTGTTCCACTCTTCCAGATTTTGCATTCTTTTTTAAAAATTAGTTAATTAATTTTTTTAATGTGTGTATGACTGTTATGCCTACATGTATGTAAGTGAATCTGTGTTGGGCAGTGCCCTTGGAGGACACCCCTGGAACTGGAGCTCTGGACAGTTGTTAGCTGCCATGTGGGTGCTGGGATTCAAACTTTGGTCCTCTGCAAGAGTAGCCAGTGTTCTTACCCATTGAGCCATCTCTCCAACCCCCCTTTAGTTTCCTTCTTCTTCAACAAGATCTCTTGGTCTTATGTAGAATATACTTATAAGATCTTTGATAAACACTTAAGGTAGTATCAGTTAAAATACAAACATTAATAATGCTTATACTGTATTACTTTGTATTGGGTTTAAAAAATTTTGTTTCAGAGACGGTCTCATTTTGTAGCCTTGGTTGACCTTGAACTCATGGTGATCCTCCTCCTTCAGACTCCATAGTGGTGGGATCACAGGCATGAACCACCATGCATGGCTAGAGAGTTATAATTATTTATATCATTTAAATTTTTTCTAGTACTGAGGATCCAATCCAGGACTTCATGCAGGCTACTAATCACTACCACTCAGCTGTATACTCATCCCTATTTTCTCTTTCTTCCTTTTTCTTTCTTTCTCTTTCTTTTTAAAATTTTATTTATTATTTTTATTTTATGTGTGTGTGTGTGTATTGCCTGCATGTAGGTAAGTGCACCCGTGTTGTGCAATGCCTGCAGAGGTCAGAAGAGACTGTCGGAGCCCCTGGGACTGGAGTTACAGTTGTCAGCTGCCATGTGGGTGCTGGGATTTGAACCCAGGTCTTCTTTCTTCTTTCTTTCCCTTTAAGTTTATGGCTTTATTTATTTATTTTTTGAGAGCTAGGGCTTGAACCAAGGCTTTGTGCATACTAGGAAAGCACTCTTAGATACTGAGATGCATCCCTAGCTGTTATTTTGTTGTTGTTAAACTGATTCCTTTATCATATATAATTACATTGTTTTTTGACATTATTACACTAATTTGTGTGTGTGTGTGCGTGTGTGTGTGTGTGTGTGTGTGTGTATCAGTACATGCATACCACAGCATAGTGTAGACAATGCACAGGATTTCAGTCTTTCTCATGTGGATTCCAGGGAACATTCAGTTGTCAGGCTTGGCAATAAGCACCTTACCTACTGAGCCATCTTGCTAGCCTAGTTTGTTTTGGTTTTTATTTTCTACTCTAAAGCCTACAGCCTGTTTTATCTAAGTATAGTGACTCCTGATCACTTTTCCATTTGTACGGTCTTTTTGTGTTTTAAGAATATTCTTATTTGAGGAGGTAGAAATTGGCTAGGCAGTTAGGAAAAAAAGACCCTAAAGAAAAGTAGCCAGTTTCTTGGCTAAAAGTCAAAATATCCTTGGGCCTCTTAGCAACATACTCTGTTCCAGAGGCCAAAAAGGTAAAAAATATTTGGGAGCTTGTATCTAATCCTTAAAAGATTTTAGGGTTACCTCTTCAGAGGGGGGAATGTTAGAATAGCCAAAAGCCTCATAAAAATAAATAAATAAGTCAAAGAAGAAGAAAGAGTACATGAAGTTATCAGAAAGACGTGATGGGGAGATATGGGAGGAGTTGGAAGGGAGGGAGTGGTCATGGATTTGATCAAAACACCTTATATGCATGTATGAAATTCTCAATAAATTATTTATTTATAAAAGAATATTCTTATTTGTTTCTGTGTGTGTGAATATATATATATATATATATATGTATGTGGTGGGGTGGAGGGGGGTTGCCCTTGCAGGCCAGAAGAGGGTCCTTTGGCGCTGGAGTTACAGGTGATTTTCTTTTCTCTCTTTCCATTAGGTGTGGGAGTGTCTTGTATTCTACACTGGCTTTTGAAGACCACTTAAAATGATCCCTGTGAAAGTCTTAGTCTGGGATTCTCTGTCCTTGAGTAGGGATGGCTGAAGTTTTTTGGATGTCTTATGCCCACAATGGGGCCTCAAGATAGTGTGAAGTCAGCCTTGTGATTTCAGAGCCAGGCAGGAATGTTTTGGCATGGAACCCTTTGCCCTGATCCTTTGCTTTGGATCAGATTCTGGAGTAGGATGCTAGTGACATCCTCATACATGCTTCTGAGAAGGCTGTTCTCACCTCTGTCCTTGTCACTCACCTTACCATCTCTACTATGGTTTTTTTGGGTAGGGCTGACATCTCTATGAGTTGTGATAGGATTTCAAATAGTAGGATCCCTGGGTTGTTAGTTAAATCCAAACATATTTTCTTTTCTGGAACTATAGAGGGAACAAAAGAGCTAGATTTTAGAATGTTTTCTGAGCAAACTATTAAAAATCTGAGAATTTATAATAATTAAACCAAGGACTAGTAATACAGTAAAACATTAAAAATTATTATATTTGGTAGAAAGGCCATTTTGATTCCCGAGTAGACAGAATAATTATTGTTCATTGACGTCTAAGTAGATAGTAATACTTTTAACATCTGCATGAATTATATATCAAAGACTATTGTCTTGTTCTTTTAGGCAAAGGTATTAATAAACATGTCTAGTTTGCAGAAACTCCATTTACTATCAGTGTCTGCAAGCATTAAATTTTTCTGTATCCTAAGGACAGTCCACAGCTTAAGAACAGGTATGTTTTCAAAACTATATATGGTATTGGAGTTTGGAATGTGTTTATCCTAAAGAACATGACGTGAATGTTGGTTAGATTTTCCAAGGCAGTGTGTTAAGTTCAGAAACAGACCACTCCAGTGCTAATGGCAGTTTCGAGTATGCTTACATAGCATTTACAGTCAGAGGCAAAAACATGCTCTCTAACCTCCATGGACTCTCCAGCCCTCACACTGAGGGGTGAGGCCTCATCAGTGGGTGGTAGGAATTTTTCCAAGAACAATAAATTAACTAAGATCTGAAAAAGAAAGTTTTTTTTTTTCTTTTGTAAAGGGAATGTCTTTGAGAGTAGGCATGTGCTTGGGGAAGAGTTAAAGCACCATAAAAGGAGAACCAAATTTTCTTCACCCTTTGCATTCTCTCTGGAGACAAAGGGGGTCTCCTGCAAGAGGCCAGTAGCTTCTTGATATGTTTAAACTGCAATTCTAAAACTGTATCAATTTGCTTAACAAATATTAGTTCGGAGAAGCAATACAGAGAAAAATCACATACTAGACTTGACCTTCTTGATTTGTCTCCTAATTGGAAGCCTAAGTGAGTAAGTAATGTTTTCTTCGTAGCAGGAGGGGCTACTCAACTGCCTTATTTTCAGTGACTCTCTACTCACCCACAGCCTTGAGGAAGAGTTTCTGATCTGTTAGCACCTTTATAAAGTCTGAGAAGTTTATTTTACCATCCTCTGCAACAGAAATCCAAGCTCAGAATGAGTATAAGTGAAAAATTATTTATTTATATTTATTAAAATAAGGTCTTATTATATGTAGTCTAGCAAACTTGCAATACTTCTCCCTCAGCCTCCAGTTTTCTGGGATTACAGAAATGTCCCAACATGCCCAGCTAAGATGTATTTTAATTATTTAAGGTGTACTAGGTCTAAAAGTGATAGTACTTTGAACCACTTAATACTAAAATTAGAGTATTTAGGGTTGGAGAGATGCTTAGGTAAGCACTGGTTTCTTTCCTCCTCCTCCCCCTCCCCCTCCTCCTCCTCCTCCATTATTTTTGTGATAGTGTCTCCCTATGTAGCTCAGGCTGGCCTTAAATTTACAATTCTCCTATTTTAGGTCACCCAAGTGCTTGCACAAGTCTTCTTAAAGTGATCATAGCATGGTTATACTAGCCTCCTGTAGCCAACAGAGGCAATGGCAAGGTGTAAGCATTCAACAAAAGCTCTTAGCCTATTTCCTTGGTGAGAGATTGCCATTCTCACCAGGGAGTCACCCTCTTGTCCCTCGCCAAACCCAAACCTATCATTCCTCTCATGTCCAAGCTGCACCCAATTTCCTCTAAAGAACATCGAGTACTATTAGAGGGGTGTGTGTGTGTGTGGTGTGTGTGCACGCGCGCACGCGTGCATGTGTGTGTGAGCTTGTGCATAAAATACATAAAAGACATAACACATTTAGGCAGAGTTAGTGGAAACAAGTGATACCTTATTAGCTGATGACCTTGAATCACATGTGGAATTGACTGACTGTGCACTGGTAGTTGGGTGATGTAAGAGAAAACAGTACGTTGAATATGTTTTCCACACAACATATCAGCTTGAACTACTAATCATTAGATCAGTATTTTCAATAAAAATATGTACTGGTCAGGCATGGTGGCATATGCCACAGCACTTGGGAGGTAGAGGCAGAAGAATCAGGAGTTTAAGGCTAGCCTAAGCTACATAGTACATTAGAGGCCAGCCTGGGATATATGAGACCATGTTTCAAAAAACCAAATCAAACCAACAGCAATAAAATCTCCCAAATGGAAAAACAACAACAAGTCCCTGTCCTAGATACTTTAAAATGTTTTAAATATTTACTATTTATTATTTTTATTTTATGTGTATGCATGTTTGCCTGCATGTAGGTAAGTGCACCCGTGTTGTGAAATGCCCACGGAGGGCAGAAGAGGCCATCCGATCCCCTGGAACTGCAGTTATGGACAGTTGTTAGCTGCCATGTAGGTGCTGGGATTCGAACCTGGGCCTTCTGCAAGAACGAGTGTTCTTAACTGCTGAGCCATGTCTCCAGCCCCCTAAAATGTTTTAAAAATATTTTATTTGGCCAGGCATGGTGGCACACGCCTTTAATCCCAGCACTTGGGAGGCAGAGGCAGGCAGGTCTCTGTGAGTTCAAAGCCAGCCTGGTCTACATAGTGAGTTCTAGGACAGCAGGGGCTACAGGGAGACCCTGTCTCAAAAGATCCACCCCCCAAATTTGATTTATATTAGTTTTTGTGTATGAGTGCATTGCCTGCATATATGTAAGTGCACCCATGTCATGTAATGCCCTGGGAGGTCAGAAGAGGGCCTCAGAATCTCCTGGAAGTGGAGTTATGGATGGCTGTTAGCTGCCATGTGGGTGCTGGGAATCAAACCTGGGTCCTCTGTAAGAGCAGCAGTGCTCTTAACTGCCTAGCCACCTCTCCAGCCCCTCGTTGATATTCTTAAAAGGAAATACACACAAATACAATAGTTCCCTCTGTCCATGGAGGATCTAGAAGTTACATTCCAAGACCTCCAATGGATTCCTTAAAACCTTGGATAGAGCTGAGATTGGTGGCTCACACCTCTAATCCCAGCATTTGGGAGGCTGAGTCAGGAAACTCATCAGTGAGTTTCATGCCAATATTGAGCTCCAGGACAGCCTGGATCACAGATTGAGAACCTGGCTCAACAAATAAACAACCCCAAGCCACCTTCTCACAAACCTCAGATAGCACTGAACCCAGCATCTACTATGCTTTTCTGATATACCTGTGATTAAGCATAATTGATAAATTAGACATAGTGAGAGGTTAACAACAACCATAAATAGAACACTTTAATAATATACTTGATAAAAGTTATATGACTGTGGTCTTTTTCTTTTGAAAAAGTTAAGACAATATTTTTGGACTACGGTTGACCATGGAAATAAAATGTGACTAAGGGGAGCTACCCCCTACTTTTGTTTACCAGGTAGAATTTCAGTAAATAAGGGTGAGTTATTTCTATTTGTAGGAGAAATAATAGAAAAAAGAGAAAAATAGATATTCATTAAAGTATTTATGAGTAAATAAGTCAAATACTCACGGTCAAGATCAGCACATTTTAACTCATTATAGATATCATACTTGGTTAGATTCATCCCCAATTTAGCTAAGGTGCACATCAATCCATGTGAATCAATACAACCAGTTTTATCCTTGGTGAAGTAGTTGTAGGCATCTTGGAAGGCTGAGGAAATCAAATTATGTTAGTCATGACAGCTATTCATGAAGAAACACACCAGGAATGGTGGTTTATGTCTGATATCCCAACATTCAGGAACCTGAGTCAGGTGGATTGTCTGGTAAATTTGAAGCTAGCTTGGGCTACATTGTGAGTTCTAGACCAGCCTCACCTACATAATATGTTTGAGACCAGCCTAGACTACATGTGAGCCTGTCTCAGGAAAACAAAGCAAAATAGAAATGGATATCTAATTTCCCCTTTTATTACCACTACTTGGCCATTTGTTTCTAGTTTGCATTGTAATTTTGATTATTTTAAATTTTTTCATTATTTTTATGATGCTGGGGATTGAACCTAGGGTTTCACACATGCTAGATTAGTATAGACTCATAAATGTTTATTTAATATTTTGGGTTATAATCTGTTTACTTTCGTTCAAATTATTTTTTAAAAAGTAGTGGAAAACAGGGGAGATGACTCAGTGGGTAAGAGCCCTTGCTGTGCGAGCATAAGGACCTGAGTTCAGAGCCTCACCACCCACACAAAATGTGTCCATAACTCTGTGGGCACCTGTAAACTCACTGTTTGGTGAGGGGCAGAGTCAGGAGGATCACTGGGGCTTGCTGGCCAGCCAATATAACTGAAAAAGCTGTGAGATCTACGGTCAATGAGAGACCTGTCTCAAAAAATAAGGAGAAGAGGGATAGAGCAGGACATCTTCCTCTGGTAGGTATACACACACACACACACACACACACACACACACACACACACACACACACACACAGAGTATAGGTACTAGGAGACAGACAGAGGGAGAAGTCTCTGGAAATTCCAGTCTGATTGTTTCAGTTTTATGAGGGAAGTAGGGAGCAAGATCTCATTTGGGAGTGAGGATAGGAAATGTTGGTGATTTTGTGGTATTCAAAACATCATGTAGAACGAACCTCTCATAGGAAAGTTGTGAGGATTAGACTCTGTAATAACCACATTTTCTAGTATCTGTACTTGTTGTTTTAATATCCTCATCCTTAACTGCTCCCATAGGGTCAGTTCCCAGTGGTAGTAAATAACTATCTTATGCGTATGCCTTGTGTGTATTTGTACTTGTGTGTGTGCAGTGCATGTGTACGTGTGCCTGTGGAGACCAGATGGTACTTTTGGATGTTATTCAGTAGGAGCTGTCCACCTTGTTTTTTGGACAGGGTCTCTCACTGGTCTGCTGATTAGGCTAGATTAGCTGGCCGGTGAGCTCCAGGGATTTGTCTTTCCCTGCCTTCCCAGCCTGAGGATTACAAGTGCCCACCACTATTTCTGTTGTTAGCTGATGTGGGTGCTGGGATTCAAACTTGGGTCTTCTGTAAGAACAGCCAGTGCTCTTAACCACTGAGCCATCTCTCCAGCCCCCTGGGTTAATTCCAAATTTGGAGGGTAAAACATTAGTGCCCCTAGAACCCAAACCCAATCATGCTTAACTTTTTAAATCTCCTGAATATTTTTTGTTTTATTTATTTAATTAATTTATTTTTTGAGACACACTTTTAAGTATACAGCCCTCTTTCTCTCTCTTTTTGAGACAGGGTCTCACTGTGTACCCCTGACTAGCCAGGAACTCACTATGTAGACCAGGTTGGCTTTGAATTCACAAAAATATGCCTGCCTTTGTTACTTCCTGAGGCCTGGGATTAAAAGCACATGCTACCACCATACCTGGCTTCTTTTCTCCTTAACAAAAGTTATTACGTTTATTTACTTATTCATTTTTTGTGTGTTTATGTGTGCATACACATGATATCAAACATGAGTTTGGAGATCAGAGGACAACTTGAGGGAGTCAATTTTCTCCTTCTACCACGTGGATCCTGGGGATCAAACTCAGGTCATCAGGCTTGGTAGCAAGCACCTTTGTCTGCTGAGCCGTCTTCTTGGCTCCTCCTCCTCTGTGAGTGTGTGTTTATGTATGTGTGTGTGAGAATGTGGGGTATGTGTATATGGTATATGCTCTCTGTGTGGTGGGATATGTACATCTGTGCACACAGAGGACAGAGGAGAACTTCAAGAGTCCTGCTCTATCACTCTCTACCTTATTCTTAGCTCTGTGAGACAGGATCTTTCCTTGAACCTGGATCTAGGCTGGCAGCCAGCAAAGCTCCAGAAATCTTCATATCTCTATCCCCTATCTGTCCCCCAGTATTGAGTTACAGGCACACACAGCTTTGTATGTGGGTACTGGGATCTGAACTCTAGTCTTCATGCTTGCACAGCAAGTGCTCTTACCCACTGAGCCATCTCTCCAGCCCCTTGTAGGTTTTCTGGTGCTTGTAATGTTTTTTGATTTTGTTCTTTCTGCCTGGAGCCCTCTTCTGCATTCTTTATCTGACTGATTCGCCCAGCTGTCTCTGGGATGCCCTTTTTTGCCTCACAAGACCGAGTCAGAACACCGTGTTTTATGTTCCTGTAGGACTCTATACTTGTCTTATAACTTGTGTCATCTTGTAATTTAAATGACTCAACAACTTCATAGTTTTAACTATGTGTTTTCCTTGTTAGATTTTCTTCCAGGGCAGGAGCTATGTCTGACTTGTTATATCTCATGCTTAGAACATTGTTGACTTTAAATAGATGTTTGTTGTTTGGATGAATGAACTGTAGCCAGTGTGGTGAATGTCGTCATCGTCATCATCATCATCATTTTTGTCTCTGAGAAATCCTGGCATTTTATATTTATTTTTTTCTTTATTTTATTTTGGTCTTTTGAGATCCAAAACTGCTGAATGACTTGGCTTGAAACCTATTATGTAGACCAGGCTAGCCTGCAACTTGTGATCCTCCTGCCTCTGCTTCCTTAGTTCTGGGATTACAGATGTGTGTTACCACACCAGCCAATTCTGGGGCTTTGTGTTTATACTATTCAATTAGTTGATTCATATTTGACCTTTGACCTTGCCTTTGTTGTTTGTCCCGCTCACAAGTTCTGTATAAAACTATTTGACCAAGATATTAAACTCCAAGGAGATGTTAATTTGAAAGTAATCTTTCAATCTTGCAGAAAGTTTAAAAAAATTAAAAAAAATTTTTTTTGACTTCTTTAATTTTATGTATATGAGTGTTATGCCTGCATGTGTGTAAGTACACCCATGTCATACACTGCCCATGGAGGACAGAAGAGGGCCTCAGAAACCCTGGAACTGGAATTAGCTGCCATGTGGGTGCTGGGATTTGAATCTGGGTCTTCTGCAAGAGCAACCAGTGCTCTTAACTGCTGAGCCATCTCAGCCCCCCCACCTTTTTTTTTAATTAAGAGAAATTTTATTTTTTAGATAGGGCCTTGATATGTAGCCCAGGCTGGCTTTGAACTTGCTAGCCTTAGCCTTAGCCTCCTGAGGTCTGGTTTTACTTATGGGGTACTTGTATGTACCACCATGCCTGCTTTAAGAAGTTTACTTTCCCCCTCCATTTTCCTACTCTTAAATGATGGAGTAGTATAGATACTCCTTGAAATCTCACATTTCATTAGAGAAAGAAAAAATGAGGAGGCAAGCTGGGTGTAGTGGCATGTGCCTGTAATACAGCATTTGGGAGGCTAAGGCAGGATTGCTATGCATTCTAGGCCTGCCAGGGCTGCATACTGAGTTCCAGGCTAGCCTTGACTACAGAGTGAGATCCTATCTCAAAAGTAAGTAAATAAATAAACAAAATAAAATAAAAAGCTCACAGATGTATTGAGGGGTTATTATTAAGTTTTAACTAGTTAGGATGATTTTCATTACCTTCCAGTTGCGAAGGGTTCAACTTCCTTTCTTTATGTTGTAAATAGCCTGGAAGAGATCCTGGTAAACCTTTATCTCTGAGAAGAAACATGAAGAGAGTCAGATTTGAGATGTATGTGAATATTGGTCCGGTTCACCAGTTTTTGCTGACTAGAATGACCCGGAGTCACGGTGCCTATGTTCCTGGCACTGTCATTTGCCAGTATATTCCTGCTGGGCTGAGAAAATGCTGGCCACTGAGGCCAGCCATCTTCACCTCTCTTAACCACCACGATTGATTTTCCTTATTATAAAACAGGAAGCATATGTTCAGAGATTAAAAAACAAACAAATGAAAAACTCGTCCCCAGTCACACAGATAAGATTGAAACTCGAAAGCTTAAGGTGAGTCTTAAGCTATTCTGACTGTTAAAAATATGTTGTTTCAGGCCAGGTGTGGTGATAGGCAGATCACTGTGAGTTCAAGGTCAGCCTGGTCTACATAGTGAATTCCAGGCCAGCTGGGGCTACAGGGAAACCTGTCTCAAAAAAGACCAAAAAAAAAAAAAAAAAAGTTGTATCAAATTTTAATTTGGCAAATAATATCATGCAGACTATCTTTGTAGTGAAATCTTTGCATTTGTGTTGATTTTATAATGTTAATTGCCAAAATGTATGTTTAACACATATGAAAGAGCTCATTTAACTGAAATAGAGATAGAGAACGCCTCTGGAAAGTTTGGAATTCTGGGTACTTTCTACTTAAGAAAGTAAAGTCTAGCTAGGAGTGGTGATACTCGCCTTTAATCTCAGGCAGAGAGAGAGAGAGAGACAGAGAGAGACAGAGAGAGAGAGAGACAGAGAGAGAGACAGAGAGACAGAGAGACAGAGACAGAGACAGAGAGAGAAGCAAAGAGGCAGAGGCAGATGAATCTCCGTTGAAACCAGCCTGGTCTACAAAGGGAGTTCCAGGCCAGCCAGGGATACATAGTGAGATCCTGTCTCTAAAACAAAGAAAAAGCCCCCACCCCCCACAAACAACAAAAAAACCCTAAAATATAGAAGAGGGGAAATATTAACATTTATGGAGTAATTTGAGTAGATTGGCAATAATTTATTCATGAACACATATATACATATTTATATATAACTGTTTTTGCTTATAATATGGCAAGTAGAATTCAATTATATTTAATTAAGTATAATTTAACAGCAAATTAATTTATATAATCATACTTATTTAGGTTTTGGAGACAGGTATCATGTAGCCTAGGCTAGTCTTGAACTCACTATAGCCAGGGGATGACCTTGAACTCCTGATCCTCCTGCCTCCACCTCCCACATGCTAGGATTACAGGCATGTGCCACTATACCTAGCTCTTTTAAATGTATTTTAAATGTCTTCAGTTTTGATACTAATAGAATGAAAGTTTAAAATATTTTTAGAAGAATGGAATCTCAAGCCAAGTGTGGTGGCGCATGCCTTTAATCCCAGCACTTGGGAGGCGGAAGCAGGTGTATCTCTGTGAGTTTGAGGCCAGCTTGGTCTACATAGTGAGTTCCAGGTCATCTGGGGCTACAGGGAGACCCTGTCTCAAAAACAACAACAAGAACAATAAAACAACAACAACAAAAACCTCATAGTTTTTGTGGTTTACAAGGAGCACTTAAAGTGAAACCAGAAGGAATAATGAACAGTGTGGTTAAACAACAAAATTATTATGGTTTAATTTACTACTCTCTAGAGTATTATATTCAACTCATTTTCTCCTAGAGTAGACTGGAAGAAAACAAGCAGAGGGAAGCAGAAGCCAGTGAGCAAAAGGTTTCTATCGGTTCTCTTAAATAAAATACTGTTGGCACAAGTTCAAACTTCATCTTGAATCAAGCATTGGAGGAAAGTCTATTTTATAGTTTTAAATGATCGTGGAATCTCGTATTTGAAATGAACCCAGTCCATCCTCTCACCTAGTGTGGGAATCCCCTTGGGCTTGTGATTTTACTTAAGTCTTTATTTGACTATTTTCAGTGTCAAATAACTATTTCAAAAAGCAGCTTTAATGTGATTTAAGGGAGCAGTGATAATGGGTTTGGCTGCTCTGAGGTTATTTTACTTGCCTCTTTCCCCTCCCTCCTGAAGTAAGTTTTTTCTCTTTCTTTCTGTCTTTTTGAGACAGGGTCTCCTGTAGCCCCAGCTGGCCTGGAACTCCCTATGTAGACCAGGATGGCCTTGAACTCACAGAGATTCACATGCCTCTGCCTCCCAAGTGCTGGGATTAAAGGCTGTGCCACCATACCTGGACTACTCATCCCTTTCTTAAAAATGTCAGAAATAAATTTCTTTAGCAATGGCAAAGCTAAAACACTCAAAAGTGGTAAAGAAAATCGGCATTTGTAAGAGAGCAGAGCATTTTTCCTTTTGCAATATAATAAACCATATCTCACTTTCAGCCAAGAGTGGTTATTTATTGGAATTTATTGATAGCTGATTGAGAAAAAGTGTTGCTACTTACAGGGGAATCTCCCTTGCCAGTTGTAGCTTAGGGTTACCCATGGCATTTTACAGGCCTTTCATTTGGGAGAATGTGAAGGAGAAACCTGTTTTTCCAGTAAAAAACAAAATAAACAAACACCAAAAGTTCAGTCTTTCTCAGGCCAGGTATGGTGGTGCACACTTTTAATCTTGGCACTCAGGAGGCAGAGGCAGGCAGAGCTTTATGAGACTGAGGCCAGCCTGGTCAACATAGCAAGTTCCAGACTAGCTGGAGCTACAGGGAGACCAACTTAAAATAACAAAAAAAGCTGTGGTGCACTCTTGTGCTCTGCCCTCTCAGCTCCGCTAGGACCCTTCTGAGCCCCCAGATCCAGGAGCTTTCCCAGACCTGCCATGATGAATACAGCCCTCAACTCTCAGCAGAGAAGCTTCCTTATGAAGCAGATGGTGATTAACACAGTGACCCACAACTGGCCAACATGCAGAGGGTCAGAGGCCGCAGACTGTTTATCTCTGAGTAAGACATCTATCATTAAACTTCTGCCTCCCAAGGCTCAGGGATCATTTTGGAAGAGGGAGTAGAGAGATTTTAAGAGCCAGAGGTGGTGATGAACACAAGGAAGCAGAGTCTTCCAGACAGATGCTCAGTTGGTCGTGGGAACTCACGGCTATGGTGACAGCATGCATAAATCTCACATAAGCTCAAGCCAAAACAAATCCCAGCAAGAATGTGAGGACGTAGATGAGAAATGCCACTCCACCTAGGGAAGCATTGGCAATGGATGGCTGCTGGGAGGGGAAGTCTGTCTTGTTTAAGGTGAAGCTCGTGGTAGGTTGACCAGGCTCCAGTAGATGGACCCATACTCAACGGCATTGGGGAAACAAATTTGACTCTTAGGCCTTAATATATTAATATTAATATAAAATTTTAGAATACGTTAAATTTGGGTAGGGGATAGTAGGAAGTACAGATAGGGAAAGAAATCTAAACATGATCAAAATTTGTTGTATGAAATTTGTAAAGAAAAATAAAATCAAACTAACCAAACAAAAAATCTTTCTAGGGCTGACAAGATGGCTCAGAGAGTAAAGGTGCTTCCTGCCAAGGCTGAGGACCTGAGTTTGATCCTTGGAGCCCATGTGGTAGAAGGAGAGAACTGACTCCCACAAGTTGTCCTCTGGCCTTCACATATGTGCCATGGCACACACATGCATACATATATGCAAATAAATAAAATATAAAAACCTCTTTAATTCAGATATTTTCTTTTATAAGTAAATTTATCACAAAACAGAGCATTCTAATGTCTCATCATAGTCTTTATGGTGTAACTTACATGTGAATTATCTTAACATTCCTTTATATAATCTATTAATACTTCATTACCTACCTCTTGTTGTGAAAGACAGGCACTTTTAGGGGATTCAGCTTAAGTTTCATTTTAATTTTTGAAACTGCCATGTGGTCAGAGACTATGTCTGTAATTCAGAACATAATAATAAAGGCTCATTCACACATTAGTTTGTTCTCTCTTCCCTCCCTCCCTTCCTCCTTCCTTCCATTTCTCCCTCCCTTCCTTTCATTTTTTTTTTAAATCTTTTTTTTTGGTCTTTTTTGAGACAGGGTCTCCCTGTAGCCCCAGCTGTCCTGGAACTCACTATGTAGACCAGGCTGGCCTTGAACTCACAGAGATCCACCTGCCTCTGCCTCCAGAGTGCTGGGATTAAAGGCAAAAAGATTTTTTAATGTTTTATTTATTATTTTTATTTTATGTATATGAGGGTATTGCCTACATGTCATGTAAGTGCACCCATGTCATTGCAGTACCCACAGAAGTCAAAAGAGGGTGTCAGATATCCTGGAACTGGAGTTACAGATGGTTGTTAGCCACTATGTGGGTGTTAGGAACCAAATCCAGGTCCTCTGTAAGAGCAGTCAGTGCTCTTAACCACTGAGCCATCTCTCCAGCCCCTCCTTTCTTTTTTTTGAGACAGGGTCTCACTTTGTAGTCCAGTTCGTTTCACATTCTCAGTCCCTCCTGCCTGAGCTTCCCCAGGGCTGGGATTACAGACATGTGCTACAATACCAATTTGTAGATTGGTTTCTTTCCATTCTTTTGCCAACTTCCCAAGATTAGGACCTGGAGCTAGAAAAGTCTAGGATCTCGAAGAATGATATTATACACAAATTCAAGTTAGAATTATTTGCAAAATTGGAGGGTCATATAGAAACATCCTTTAATTGTCCCAAGATCAATAAGTTAAATTTCTTGCCATAGCTTTACCTTTTAAATAATGCCACTTTGACTTTATATGAAAATAAATGCTGGGGCTGGAGAGACGGTTCACCATTTAAGTGTCCTTACAGCTCTTGCAGAGGACCAGTGTTTGGTTCATAGCACCTTCATGAGTCAGTTTACAATTCCTATGACTCCAGTTCTAGTTGCCCCCTTCTGACCTCCAAGAGCACCTATACTCACACAGTACACATAAGCTCATGCAGGCATACACAAATACACGTAAGTAAAAATAAACAAATCTTTCAAAAATGCTAAGCAAAACAAGCCAGGCACACAAAGAAAAATATATTCTCTCTGGAATTCAAAATAGTCAAACCCACAGAAACAGAATGGTGGAAAGAGGAGGTATAAGGAGATTAAAGGGCACAAAGTTTCAGTTATGCAAGATGAGTAACTTCCAAAGATCTAATGTATAGCATGGGGATCATAGATAAGCCACTGTATATGTCCTTGAAATTTGCTAGCACAGTCCAACCAAAGTGCCCCTACCCCATAGTAACTATGCGAGGTGACTGGTATATTAGTTTGACTGTAATGATTCTTTCACAATGTTTATGTATAGCAGATCATCAAATTGTGTGCCTTAGCTAATAAAAAACAGTGTCCTGTGATACAGATAAAACATGTAGAAATATACGGTAAAATTATTTAAAGACAAAATTCATGACAAAATTCACATAGAAGAAAATGTTATAATAACATGTCAAAAATATTTGCTTACTTGCTTCAGTTTTAGATACCTACCAGGTAGTAAGTAGATTTTCTGAGGGTTTCCTTCAGGGACACACATCCATGCCCTGTCAGTTCTTTTGAGCCCACTATTTTTTCTTAAAGGCAGGAGTGGCCTCTTGAGGGGCCTCTTTCACTGTTATGGCCACCCTAGTCCTCCCTTTCCCCCTCTGCATAGACTGAGCAACATAGCCTGTAGGCCAGAGGTTGGGCGGGCAGACCTTCCTGCTTTGTTAGTTTTATCATTCCAGTCAGGTGGCTCACTATTGTAGCTTTAGTGTAATTGAATGGTAAATACTATTAAATCATGAAGGGAAAAAAGTTTCAGAATGTTTGGTTAGAATTCATCCTTCCCTGGTCTTTGCCACAGCACGTGGAAGGCAGTTGTTTCTAAAAAACTCAGTTACACGGTGTTCAGAATCTAGAAACCTACCATAGAGCTGGGAACTTCAGAGACACTCAACAATTTAGGCACTTGAAAGGTGCTGTGAAATTGTCCTCATTGGCTCAAAAATAGTTATTGCTTAAAAAAAACTTCAATCTCTTATATAGTTGTTAGATTTTTTTTTTTAAAGGATTCAGTATAGAATCATACAAAATCCTGACATTTACCTACTTTCAAGCTGTGCTACTAACCACTTTGGGGCTTCAGATCAAGACTCCAATAAAGGGTTTGTTCCATCATACAACTGTGACCTCATTCACTGCTCATGCCCAGGCTCAAGGACAGAATGACCCGGGGGCTCTTTCCAGGGTCAGAGCAAGTGAGTTTTCAGTGGGGTTCATTCAGTGCCCCAGAGGTATATGAGGGCATGAAGTACAGAATCGCAACATTTTCACTCTGTTGGGAGAGTATTCTTCAGAGAAGGGGACACTTTTTTCCAATTCTGTGTTAATTGATTTTCATTAGTGAGTTGAAACTTGTCTAAGTGAAGCACTTTACCTTGACTGAACAGTGGCTAAAAACTATTGCATTGATTGAAGTCTGGAAAGAGGGGGGAAATCAAACTCTCATCTGCTTGCATTCTTTTTTTTTTTTTTTTTTTTTTGGTCTTTGTAGCCTCAGCTGGCCTGGAACTCACTATGTAGACCAGGCTGGCCTTGAACTCACAGAGATCTGCCTGCTTCTGCCTCCTAAGTGCTGGGATAAAAGGCATGCACCACTATGTCGGCACTTGCATTCTTTAATAGGAGGAAAAGTGAGTTAAAAAGAGAAATTAAGTTGCCAGCTGTGGTGGTGTGTGCCTATAATCCTCATATTTAGAAGACTGAAGCAGGAGGATTGTTAGTTTGAGGCCAGCATAGACTATGTTAGAGAGATTCCGTCTCAAAATAAAACAAAAAGAACAACACTGTTGGTGTGTGTGTTCTGCTCTTTCTCCTGGCATTTAACCCTCTAGCAGCAGCAGTAGTCTATTGTGGAGACGCACAGCCTCTGGCTTCCAAGAAGGCGCCAAGCTCTACTCAGTGGTAGTATTTCTAGATGTTTACTTTTCTCGCTCTGGGAACTTTTCAGTATGAGTATAATTTGACTTTACCAAGCTTCTTAAAATTACCTCCCATTTTGGTCAGGAACACAAAGGAAAAGACAGGGAAGGTTTAATTTATAAATCACTTCAACAAATATAAATCAAGGGCTTACTATGCTAAAATGGGGAGGGATACTTGTCATGGCATTCCTATTAGGTGGGGTTGGTGAGAAGTGAAACTTGGTTTCTTTTTTTTTTTTTAAGATTTATTTTACTTTAATTTTTTAAAGAATATTTTATTATTTTTATTTCATGTGTATGAGTGTTATGCCTTCATGTAGGTTAAATGCACCCGTGTTGTGCAATGCCCGAGGAGGACAGAAGAGGCTGTCGGATCCCCTGGAACTGGAGTTATGGACAGCTGTTAGCTGCTATGTGGGTGCTGGGATTCGAACCCAGGTCTTCTGCAAGAACAGTCAGTGCTCTTAACCGCTGAGCCATCTCTCCAGCCCCACGATTTATTTTATTTTTTAAAAATTATGTGTATGTATATGTCTGTGTGGGTAAATGTATGTGAGGGCAGGTTTCCCACAGAGGTCAGAAGAGGTTGTTAGATTCCCCTGAAGCTGGAGTTACACGCAGTTTTGGGCTGCCTGATGTGGATGTTGGGGATTGAACACCCACAAGACCATGGTCTTCCATAAGACCAGCAAGTGCTCCTAACTGCTGAGCCATGTCTCCAGCCCCAAACTTGGTTTCTTTAGAGACAACCTCACTGTATTTTTCTGGGATGGTCTCAAACTCCTGAGTTCAAACAGTCTCCTGTTTTAGCCTCACAAGTATATAGGACTATGGCATGGTGCCCAGGTCGAAGCAAAATTTTACATATATATATATATATATATATTTTGTTGTTGTTGTTGTTTTTTTTTTCCTAGAGGCAGGGTCTCACTATGTAGACCAGGCTAGTTTTGAACTCACAGAGATCTGCCTGCCCATGTCTCCTGGGTGCTGGAATTAAAGGTGTGTGCCACCATACTTGGGAGCTGTTTATTTTAAATTGTGGAACAATACATATTATGTAAAATTAACCACTTTAATTGTGTGTGTTGAATACTGGGGATCACAACAAGGGCATCACGCATGCTATGAAAGCACTCGACTGTGGAGTACATCCCCAGTCCCTCTCTTAACTATTTTTAATGATTAAGTATTGTTCAGTATTGTTAAGTGTATTCATTTTGTTATATAACCAGCTACTGAAGGCTTTCATCTTGCAAAATTCAAACTCTATATTCATTAAATAACATCATTCCCTTCCCCTCTCCTTCCAACTCCTCAAAATCACCCTATGTTCTGCTTCTATGACTCTGACCACTCAAGATGTCTGCTATGTATAGAATAATACAGTATTAAAAAATAAGCATATTTCTGTGATTGGCTTATTTCACTTAATATAGGTTCATCCATGTTGTGCTATGGGTCACAGTTTCCTTCTTTGTAAAAGCTGGATAATATTCTGTGTACATGTCACGTTTTGTTTGTCCATTCATCTGTTGATGGACACTTGGGTTGCTTCTCCCCTTTTTTTTTTTTTTTTTTTTTTTTGAGACAGGGTCTCATTGTGTAGCCCTGGCTGGCCTGGAACTCTCTGTGTAGACCAGGCTGGCCTTGAACTTGCTGAGGTCCTATTGCCTCTGCCTCCCAAGTGCTGGAATTAAAGGTGTGTGCTGCCACACATTAATTTTATAGCAAGTTATAACATTAAATTGACTAACCCATGTTCTGCAAACCACTAAATACTGTGATTTTAATGTTTCTTCATTTCGTAATATTTGTGTGGATTTCAATGAACATCTTCACTAACTCAATAAAAATAGCTTTAATCCAATTGCATAATTTTACATTTTCTGCTCCCCCTGCCCCTGTGTTCCCATGTGCCACAGCAGGTATGTAGAGGTCAGAGGGCAACTTTGTGG